AAATATATTTTTTATTTTTACAGTGCTGCACAAGTTCTAGTCTTTGCTTTTATTTTGTGTTTATATGAATGCTTGAGAATAGGCTTCCTCTTCAGTTCACATTGTTGTCTTGTTATGAGAAAAAAAATGAAGAAAATCTCAATGCTTTGACTATAGTACTGCAGAATATCATTGTTATCATGATTGTTATCATCATTACTGCAGTATGACAACATCTAGGTGGTCTTCTTTGGTGCTTTGGGCTGCCATGTGGCAGGGAATCTAGAGACTGCTTCAGGGGATGACTTCAGTCCGGTACATCAGCAATACTTCTTAAATGTGAAACAACTGCTTTTCTTTCTTCGGATGTTGCAATGGACAGTGAATCTATGTACTTGCTTTGGACATTTTGGCCATTATAATCTTCCAGATTTTGAGCTGAAATATGTGTTGGTGTTAAGGCTTTGTCTATACTTCAATCATTGGGCACAACTCTGTTAAGAAAATTTTTCTGCCTCGTAGAGGTAGTGCATCCAGCTTAAAATCTTTGTGTAGCTCTTACAAAAGTTATTGTGGTACCAGCACATGAGCTTGCATGCTTTGACTTGCATCTATATTTTACACCTGTCTGTCAATCTCCATTAATGCGAACCCACTGGGAGTTTTTGACTATTAAGGAATCAGGAATCAGAAAGATAGATGTGTGGTGGTTCAAAGAAGAAAGCTTCTGGAGGTTTTTTTTGCAATGATAGTGCAGATGGTTTTGTTTTCATACACATAAGTACAGTGGACAATTCAGGGGAAGTTCTTAAGAAGGCATCTGAACTCCTTATCGATGCTATGCTCACATAACAATATGTGTGCCTAGGGCCTTTTGGCTCTCTAGGAGACTGCAGCTGGTTCTAGCGGTAGACGATGTGGTCACAGTGCACACTTCTGGCTGGGCTACAGTATTATTACCTCTTCGGGCACGAAGACTTCTGCCCACAGGAGATCCCAGATGTTTTGTGTGCTACCAAAGGCTCATCACAGCTCTCCTGTTTTCTAAATTGGTTCAACATAGAGCACCACAGAAAATGTCTATTTCTGTAGTGTTGGGTTTAAAAATACTGCTCCCCAGGCAAAATATGGTACTCTTTATAGCAGGCATATAGGAAGCAGAACTGCTGGGAGATCTGAAGTTACAGAACAAAACTCTAAGGAAATTTACAACTGCTACAAATTTCACTATACTCTGATCAAAAGGGCAAAATATATGAATTTGCATTTTCTGCTAGCAAATAATGCAACATGTATTGCATTGGTATGAGCAGGTTAAATACAAATTTTACAAAACCAGCAAACATCTTTGGGCATTGGAGGAAAATGCTGAACTTAATTTTTTATTGTTTGTGGATTCATTAGTGACAGCCACTGGAGTCTTGAACTTCTGAGATTCCAAAAGATGAAGGGCCTTATAGAAGTTTGAGTCAAGTAGGAAAAGTAATTTAGGATCAAAACGTTCTTTCAGATTGTAACTTATTCACACAATTTGTTATAAGAAAATACTGTTTTCATGGTTGTTATTTCTCTTTCCTTCAGTAAAGCAGCTAGTAGATACAGGGGAAGGAAAGAGAGCACGTATGGGGAGAAAGGACTTCTCTGCCCATTTTGGTGAAGTATAAAATAAGCTAATAGGTATCATTAAGAAGAAAGTGTATTTAAAATTTCCAAGTTAATTTCATAGACCTCTTAGGCAATTTTTCAGTAACTGAGATTTTTTTCAGATTGTATTTTATAGTCTTCCCTATGAGAAAAGAATCCATTATTGCAAGAATGATTTTTTTTTTTTTTTTGGCGGGGGGGTGTGTTATAAACCAGCTTTTATTAAATCGAATTGAAAACACTAATCTGATCATCATATCTGTGTGTTTCTGTACTAAGGATGAATGTATGTCTCTTCCAATAAAAAGTTTATCAAGCTGTAAAAAAATCTACCTTTGAAGACAAGTGTAAGGCAAGTGTAATGGACAAAATACAGGAACTCAGATGTGTTGTTAAAGAAAATCTTTGCTTTCTGCTTATGTTAGAAGTGAAAGCTAAAGATACTGATCTGAAATAGGGTTAAGTTTTACTTAATCCTTAAATATTTATTTTAATCATTAGTGTGAAAGTCTTAATAGACTGGGAAAAGTCTTAGTAGCTGGAAAGGATAAAGAAAAGGATGGTATTCGAAAAATCTTGAGTCTTGTTTTTCTCTAAAAATATGTTTAAGTTGCCATTGTTTACAGGTTTTTTCCTTATGTTTTTGTTTTGGGGATAAGTGTTTGTGGTTGGTTTGGCTTTGGTTTTGGCCTGTATTTTTTCCTGGCCAAATGGGAATATGTATAGAAGCAAGAAACAGAAGTAGTTGAATCCCTAGCAAAGTGATGAAAAATGTATTGTCTGAATTGTAGTGTTGAAGAAGCAATGGATTTGTTCTTCAGCTTCTATTTTTTATAGTATTTTTCTGAATTTCTTGCTCAATATATTTTGAACAATAGTGTTTAAATTCCTAAAACAAAATTTTGATGAAATCAGTGTGGGGATGTAGACATCTACAGTTCTCTAAATCTGTTTTTCTGAACTTTTTTGCTAGTTTTTGTTTTGTGAGATACCCAGATATGCTGATTAGTGGAGCATGCTGGCTTTACTCTGAATTTAGTGGAGAGAAAAGGAGAAGGGATTAGGAGATCAGCTTGAAATGCGCATGTATTTACAATATTTAGTAGAATGAGAGAGCTGTTAAGAATATGTATTTCATCTTGTTGTATTGAATACTTAGACTTGTATTTGAAATTATTTAATAATTGAAATTTAAAGGGCAGTTAAGATTGGCATTTGAGATTGGTCTTTTGATATTCTGCTCTCAGAAGCTTCATTTGGAGGCCAAACAATTACATTATGATGAATAGGATGCTGATGGGCTCTAGTCCCAGATTCTCATCCTGCTGCTAGTTCTACCAGCACTCAGATCTTTTTTTACCGTCAGGGAAAATCCTGCAGACTCAGTCTTAATTACTATAAATACAAGTCATTACTTGAGCACACCCTTTAAAAAAAAAAAAAAATTAAAAGTCTGCAAAATTTAAAATATCTGGTAGATTTTATCTAATATGTGTAAAATAACTCAATTTACTTAACATAATTGAGTGTTGAGTTACATCATCAATTATTGAGTTACGTCGTCAGCTTCTCAATTGTTTACTTGTTTAACATAAGCATAATTTTTTTCTTTTGCAGTATTGAGAAACTCTGTCAAAATGTAGCATTTGTGCTGAGTTGAACATAATTTTGCACTGCAAGAGTTAAATGTACATACTGAGGGTTACATTACAAATAGAACCATTTGAGGTACCTAACTGCATGAATCAAATACAAAATCCCAGTTGTGTAGTTTACAGTGCTAATTCATAGCTAAATTGTTTTTTAATTTCATAGTGGCATTTCTGATGGCAGCACAATGATTTATAGTGGTGTACTATTTAAAATCAAACTGAAGCTTATGGTCTCTATGTTTTCTGTACTTGAGATCTGTTTATAAATACTATTTATTTTTAAGACTAAGAGCATGACATATTCATTTTGAAAAGAGTACAAGTGAAAATCCTGGAAAATGCTTTCAAGTATATCTTTTATTACATGTGAAAATACCCTCAAAACTGCACAGCTTTTGGTTTTGTGGTGGATACTTACAAATAATAACCTCATAATAAAGATAAATAAATCGGAGCACTTACTAGCAAGTGTGTTTTGGAGTAGAAGTGAAACTAGTTTCTTTATTTCATGTTTCCACAATCACTTTACTTCCAGTTGGTTTCAATTAAAATTTTCAAGATTTTAGACTCTCACCTGAGGTAGTTGTGTGAGTGGTGGATTTTGGCTACCTTCGAGTATAGAATTGTGATTATTTTCCCCCTCTATTTTATCTGTCATGTACCTATATATAAACTTGTACTCACTGCCTCAAAATTATTACAGAAAGATAAGTATTAACCCCTGTGTCCCAGTGCTAACACGCTAAACTTTGTTTTTTCTTCTGTGGATACAGTTATAAGCTACTGCTTCAGAGGCCGAAGGGCTCATTCTTGGTATGGGCTGAAAGTAATGGTGCCCAGTGGCGTGTGCTGTTTTCTTTGCGGTTGCACAAGCATTGGTATGATTCTGCCATTCCCTGAACAATGTCTTACAGAAAAATCACTGTTTTTTTCTACACATTTGCTCCCTAAAATGGCTCACAGTGGGCTTAAATAAATTCTAGACTTGGCCAGATTCAAGGAATGACGGTTAGGACTTCACTGTGCAATGACAGTTGACTATTACCTTGTGTCAACTGTAAAGGACAGCCATAATAATGAATCTCTTTAGATACAGCACTTGACTAGTGTTCTCTGCTCTTTTGTCCTGTTTAGTCTTAATGATTTTTTTGTTTTTGAGTTTTTCATCTTCTTTATTGCTGTGTTTAAGATTCTGCATGTCTAGGTAATTGGTTATGAAGAGGAAACAGAAGAACTAACAGTACAGAGTTACCAGAAGTGTGAATCTCAAAATTAGGACTATAACTGTGCTTTTTCACTTTTTAATTTTTCTTTATATAGTTCTTGTTCATTAAAAGAAGATAAATTGATAACTTTACACTGATACTATATTATAGATGCAATTTTTAATGAGGAGACCAATTAGAGATGTTTCATGTGGTTGTAACACAGGCAATTGAATTATATTTAGACAGTGTGCACTATTTTAGTTATTCAGTATGAAAGAGTGAAGATATTTATATATATTTTATATATATATTTATATACATATATTTAATGATCTGCTGTACATGTATGATTTTGCAGTTTGTTTGACCATTGGCAGGATAATTGTCCTTTTCAGTTACCACCTAAATTAATAATTAGATTATCTTATATTTTCAAGAAATATTAATAGCCATTAAAATATCTTAGATTAAATTTCAAATTTCACCTGATGTTTATCTTCATTGTCATTTCTTTAAGGCCCTATTGAGTTTGAAGAATGTAACACATCCAGTGCAGTTGAAGGTGAGTTGTAGCATAGTTATTTATGTAAGAATGCCGTGGGTAAGTACCTGTAGAGTGAAGGGTATTCAGTGTGTGAATCTCTGTAACTTTAAACTACTGCAGTAGACTAAAAAGCAGTTTTCCTTCTGAGAAACAAACTTCAGCAAAAATAAGACCTACGATACTTTATAAGCTTGATGCACAAAGCTCAGAGAATTCTAATGTTTCTTATAAATATACTTTGGCTAAGACCCTTTGCAGAGGTTTGGATTTGGTTCACTTATGATTTTGTTGTAACTTAATTTGCAAGTGTCAAAACATGGCCCAGGCTTTTTCCATTCTTACCACGTTAGTTATACCAAGTCTAATGCGGGTATAACTAAGTCTAATGCGGTGCTGTGGTCGAAAAGCCTTTCTTTGTTGGCATAGCTTATTTTGCTTAGGGGTCTGTTTTAAGTGGTTAAGAAGTGTTTTATTAGCATAAGCTATGTATTTACTTTTGGGACAAAGGAGTTGACAGTATAGCTATAGCAGCCGACAACTTTTAAGTTGCCAAGATTGCAGCTGAGACTTAAAAACTTTTTTGACTGAAGCAGAGAGGTTCCATGTTCAGGAATGACTCTCACACTCCATTTGTCATTGTTCTGGACTGCATAAGGCACAGGAAGATAATAAGGCCCAGACTAGAATTTAAAAATAATTTTGAAGCGAATGCTGTCTCTATTAAAATACAAGATATGGCTGAGGTTACAGCTCCCTGATTTGAGAAGTTTTGAGTTATTTAAACCTGAAAATTCTTAAGAGTGGAGAGAGTCCTTATGGTAAAGAGGAACATAATTATTTTTTTTTTATTATATGCTTGTATTGTCAGTTGTTAAATTTTGGAAATCAAATTATTTCCACCATCTTGCTCAAAAGCATGCTGTCAGTAGTTTCATACGTCAAAACAAAATTGTAGACAAGTTGGATCAGATGCTTGCACTTAGTCATTTTGTTTGGCAGTCCACTTCAGCAAAAACTGGGGAGAGAAGCAGACGTGACAGCAAGTCTGATGGAATATTTAAATGTGTTTTAATTTTAGAACATTAAATGGGTATGAAAGCAAATTTGTGTTCTGTACTATAGCTGTATGTATGCAGTGCTAAAATGGGGGGAAACAACAGAGGGTAGGCATGGTTCCAGACGCGATGAGACCCAGTCTTAGAGCTGGCTGTAACACTGGGAAATCATGAACTCAGCATCCTCTGGAAAGCCAAGAGACATCCTCTTTTTTCACATGACCAAGATCCTGCTACTTAGGAGACACAAGGGCTTGCAGCTACCAGGAACGCACAGGAAAATAACAACTGGGTGTTGAACTGCAGTAGCTGGGAGAGGCAGAGTTCAGTTTCTGATCCAAGTGCATTGGTTATTCAGGACTGGCCGGAGCAATAGCTCCTGTTGAGTTTCTATGAGCAGAGTCCCCTTCCTCCAAACTGGTAGTACACCCATTTTCTATAAAAAAAAAAGTGACAGTCTGCATACCCAACTTGGAGAGTTGTATGTGCAATGCAAAGCTGTTTTATAAGGACTCCTGTTATTAATGTGTTGAACCATACCTTAATTTCATTTTTTGATTGGTATGTTATTTAGCAACAAATTGGAATAATGTTCCCTTACTTTGGCTCTATACCTATCTCCACTGTTAGATTTTTTTATCACTTGTGACAGCATTTAAAATGTATTGGCATTGGTATGCACCTGTGTTTGACACTGCTAGATACGTACTTGTCTCTTTGATCTTTAAATGAAAAGTGTTTTTTCCGTAGGGCTAAAACCACGGAAGAGGAAGCCTTTTGGTTTATCCGGAATAATGAAAAAAGAAAAAGATACTGAATCTGTGTAAGTATATTTCCATTTTGTAGCCTTGTCTTGTATGAGAACTAGTAAAAGCATGGGGATAATCATTAGCTGATGTTTAACAAAAATGGGTTTATAACAGAAGTTTAGAGGAATGCTGTGAGTATCAAAACATCACAGCTATTGAAGATTTTTGTAAATAAGGGATTTAAGGAAATAACATAAATGTATTCGTAGTAGTCTACTCATGTTTCATTCTTTTGTGTGCATATGTAAGTAACTCTCCCTTGTTCTACATTTGAACAATGTAGATAATGTGATTATCATGTCTACTACTAATGAAATAATAGCTCTGTACATGGAAAAAGTACTGCATGCCTATGCTTGCAGAATTGAAGCTTCAGTTATTCTTTTATCAGAAAAAACTTTTGTGTACAGTATCAAAGGACAGAAAAATATTTGAATGTTTTTTCAGTACACCACGTGCACACTCATTTCTAGAAGACCATCTTTCAAACTCATGACTGATGTCTCAGCTATACCCTTTGCTATATTCCTTGCATGTGCTCTGTCTCCCAGCAGTTAAAACTCTCCAGAAAGTGACTTTGAGTAAAAGTTCTTAGATGGATCAGTTGCAGTCTCCATATTAGCAGTTATCGTCACTATATTCCAGTGTATTGTTTTCGTAATATCTAGGTGTGTTTTCTCAATAGAAGTATTTGATTTAACAGAAAATAACTTACAATTTAAGAAACTTAGCAATATAGAAATATTCTGAAGTGACATCTGCATACATATTTTTAAAAATTACTTCTAAAAAATATTGTACCAGCCTCAGTTTTTAATATAATGCTGGAAAATGAACGACTTAAGAACTGCAGGTGCTAATTATTTGCTCATATGAAGTGCCTTATAGCTATTTTTCTTTCACTGTTTCATTTTAATAGTGATACACTTCTAAACCATGCTTTTTCTTCTCTATGTCGTGATGCCTTTAGGGTTCCAGGGTGGTGGATTTTTAAGTCATTCCTCTATATTTCTGTTCTTTCTGTGATTTAGTCTTTGCTGCACCCTCTCTTCTGTACTTGGAGAATAAATGGTGAGAGAAGTGTTGTAAATAAGTCAGCAGTAAACTGAGAATACTATTGTTACAAAGAATCGCTTTTTCTGATGAACCTTTAGTTTAAAATAATTAAATTAAAATGGTATAAATATTATATTCATGTTTTAAACAGCGTTAGTGCCCTTTTTAAAAGTAATCCATTATTTCTGGAAATTTACTTCCAGATATTACACTTTTTTTTTTTTTTGGTAATGCAAAACTTTGCAGTATCAAATAACAGCAAAAAAATATGTTCCATCATTTGCCTTTTGTGTCCTGAATTTACTTAATTGCAAAGTAGTGATTTTGATAGTATTAAATACTGTTGTATGATTGAATTCTGTCACTGTCAGCTTTTCTCGTCCAACAAAATAATTATTTTGCCACCACGTGAGTTATTACTAAAGATAATCTCACATCATGAATGTTATAAGCCTCTTTGCAAACCATGCATCTCCTTCCATCTATTCTTTGGCAGATGATAAAGTATAATCTGGCCCCAGCAAAGATTTAGGGCTCTTAGTTTTGGGGAGCCAGCAAAGGCCTGAAAGCTCCAGAGTAACTCTTCGCAGATGTAGGACTCAATGTATCCTTACTCAGAGATCATGCTTTTCTTTGACCTATAACAGAAAGAAAATTTTCTTGAGCACTGCGAGCTGAAAACTGGCTTCTACACTCTATGAAACACTTTCTGCCTTTGTATGCTTATCCATTATAGTATCTGAATACTTTTATGAAAACTTTTTTTTCCCAATAACATTTTATTTAACATTGAGAGATAATATCAGTGTCTCTAGAAAAAAAATATGGTTTGCGTGGCACAATGATATCAACAGAAAATGTAAATAAATCAGCTCAGCTACTCTGAAATGGGAAAAGAATTTGCCTTGCTTTCAACAAGTTGGACTAAAATTTGATTTATATTATTTCATTTGTTTCTATATTTACACACAATACAGAAATTAATAGATTCTGAGGTCAGAAAGAAAGAATTATGATGGCATATTGACCTCCTATGTAACACATGCCATAGGCTTTTACAGAGATTCTTGCCGTAATTCATAACTTCTAAATGAACTAGAACATCAGAAATAAATAACAGAGGAGTGATTATGTGATTAAGTAAAATATTACAATTATTTACAATCTCGTAAAAAAATTTTATTGCTAGTTAAATTTATTTTGTCTGATTGCATCCTCAGCTGATGATCCTGTTTTAAGCTGTAAATGATAAAACTCTGTATCATCAGAAACTTCTTTGCACATAGAGGTCAAGTTCTTTCTTAATCTCTTGTTAAATTAGGCTGTTAGCTTGTTTAGTTTGTGTAGGACATGCTTTCCACATCTAGAAAAATTCTCATGGTTTGTAGGCTTTTCAGTTTATCAATACAGTTTTTAAAGTGTTGACAACTAACTTGTATATCGTGTCTAGTAATGGTTTTACACAGGAAAATACCATACACTGAGTATTTTATTACATACTGTTATTCAGGTTAGTCAAGGATTTAACTTCTTTTTTTAACCACTGCTTTGCATGATTTCGTTGTTTTAGTTTTTATCTACAGTCTTTAATTTCCTTACAGAATCCTCATTTGCTGAAATGTTACCTTATACTAGAAGCATGACCTATTTCTTTAATCTTAAAAGAAAGATCATGCGTCTAGTGATGGAAAAGCCTGTCTGTCTAAAATCTGATGTCCTCATTTTCTACTTCACCAGCACTTGCAAACTATTGAGTTTTCCTTTGTATCTTGAGAACAGATACTGGAAGGTGCTGTTAGTGCTCCTCTGAATGATATTAGATCTGCCATTACTTTTTGACATCTATTAGCTCACTAATTTTGAAAACCTTCATTATGGGTTGAATTACTTTCATTGTAGTTTGCCTCACAGCTTTCACATTTCTTAACTTTTATGGACTTTAGGCTGTACTGAGTATGGACGCTTTTTAAAGCCGCATGCCAGAAAATCTGTTTGTTATAGCTTTTGAGAGAAGTCTAATACTTTTTCTCTTTGAGCCCTAAAATAGCTTTTAAAATAGCTATTTCTATTGCTATGAATTCAGTTTAGCCAGCAGAGGGAGATAAGATGTAAGTCAATTAGAAACTTGGTCACATATGTTTTCTTATGCGGGAGGACTTTCAGAGGAGATGGCATCCTTCATCTTACTGTCAGTTACTTAACAGGCTGTACTGAATTTCATATTCATGCTTCCATGTTAGCAAGTTTTCATACCTGTTTTTAAAGACACTGTAGTTTTTACATTCAGCCCATTTAGCCTTTCAGAGAAGACAATTTAGATTGCAATAAATGTGATTTTTTTTTCCCTCTTTTTTCTATAAATGCATGTTTAAAATGTTGAGTTTGATTATATAAAACCACTGTTGTTCAGTTACATTGGCACTTACAGCTTTATTTGTCAGGATGCAAATTGGAGAGGACTTGTATGCTACTCAAGTATTCCCACATTCTGTAAATGTAATTGCTTCTGCATTTTTCAGACATCAGAGAGAGTCGGTGTCATTCATTTTTTTAAATACTACTGCTCAAATCGAAGTTACAGTGGAAGAATACATCAATTGTGAATAATGTGCTTGCAATCGCTGACAACTGTTGGAGGGCTTTTTTAAGTGCTTATTAGGAGGGTACTCTTATTTTTTCCAGCATCTTGTAGTGCTTGACTGCAACTGTGCTTGACAAACACAAACTCAGAATGAAATTCCAAATGAGGGAGGCTCTGAATTCCTCTAAGAATAGTCTTAATTTCTTTGGGAACTAGCTATTGTCCAAAATGTTTTGCAGTTGCATGTGGACTATTTTATTAGGATTGGTGACTTCTGCTTATTGTGCACATTAACCACAGAGACCTGTCTCTTAAAGTATATTCATCCAGAATACAGTGTGGTAGTCCTGGCTTCCCTTGATATTTTTTATTTTTTAATTTTTTCATTATGATATGATACTGCTTTTTCATAATTTCTTTTGAGCTTGTGTTCTGAAGTGTTTTGAGCATAAACTTTCAGCTTTTATTTAAATCTCATTCAGTCGAATGTGGATTTTTTGTAATGAAAACTTTAACAGAGTCAAGGAACCAAAAGGGTCAAACACAGTCTTTCAAATTAAATGAAAAATATTAAAGGAAGTACTAGATCTGTATGAATAAAATTATTAGTGCGTTTTGTAATTTTATATTTTCTTTATTTTTTTTTAACAGGGAGTGTCCAGATGCAGACTCAGTTGTAAGTAGATCTATTTCGAAAACAAATGCATATGCTAATTGTCAAGCACTACAAATTGGATGAAACATAACTTATGTACAGTTCCTGCAATGCATTATTTGTCTAATAAAGGATTTAATATTTCGATAACATAGATAAAGTGTTGATTTTGCTCAGTACATAATCTTTAGTAGTATATACAAGTATGTGTCAGTAATACATTTATATTTCCTAACAATTTTAGGTTTTAAATGAGGTATTTTTACTGCAAGTATTTAGTACTTTATTTTTGAAGTTAATAAATTGCTTGACTAATAGATACTAAGTAAGAAAAAGGTTCAGTTTATTGTGGACCTAATTTTGAATTATCATATTCCTCTGCTTACTACTATTTCCTTTAAGAAATCCTTATAATATCAATGAGGTTCTGCTTTATCACTGGCAATAGAGTGTAGGAATATTCTTCTAAAAATATGTTTTTAAATGCATTATTTCTAGATCCATTTTATTAATGGCCTGGTTTTCATTGCTGTCAGCTTGATCAGTGATACATTTTACAATTTTATTTATTAAATTCAAATAAGTGACAGCTGCAAATTAAATTGTATGTTATTGCTTTTTTAGTTCCTTAATTGAGCCTTTTATTTAGACATGTATGTTGTCGTAAAATACATGTAATAGAGATTGCAGCTCCCTATAGCTATAGTAGGAGATAATTTACACGATAATTTAAGTGATTTTCTGTAGACTGATTAATTTTTCAGTTCATTTATTTAGATGCCAATTATATTATACAGTTCAACTTTCCAAGTTCACCTATTTTTTGGATTTTCTTCTTTGCATTGAATATCTGGGAGTTTTAGAACCTAATATTAAAACTTATTTTGAGAAAATTGCTTTGAAAAATCTGGTAGAACCATTCTTCTAAATAAGGAAAAGTAAATTTTGCTACATAACAGAACTGAATGTGTAAGAACAGCCTTGTAAGGATCATCAAGATAGTTATTTTATCCTGTGCAAGGTCATCTTGATTTAGAGCAAATTTATTTTATTGGGTACATCTAAAATAAAGTAATTTTAGAATTATCCATATAATTATCAGGCTTTTCATGCAAATAATACCTTTTGACAGTTCAGGTTGAATCACTGGAGTGAAGCACAACTGGGTTTGACTTGCAATGTTTATTTTCTTTGCTTATTTTGGTATCTACATTTTTAAAAAATAATTAGTTCCAAAAAATTCAGCTGTAAAATGTGTCTGACATTCTCTCTGGCTGCATAAGGCACATTGTATGATCATCTAAATTAATCACTCTGTCTAAATGTAATTTATATTTGGTTAAAAAAAAAAAAAAAAAAAGACCTAACTTTGACAGTGTATAACAACAAAACTGATACTTTAATTGCATTTTAATTTCTTTTTTTCCCCCCAATATTTTATGACTGAATTTGGAATTTAAAATTTAGTCTACCATTTTTTCTTGCTTTTTACAAGCAATGGTGTTATTCTGAATGATAGAATGCTTTAATAGCAGAAGACATTACTGTCATTCTTGTGAAAAATGATGCAGCATACCACAGATGAGATTCATTTCACCCTTACAGTCAAGCACCCCAGAGTGCTTTTACATTTTAAAGTTGGTGTCCTCTTCTGGAAGGTCCCATTTAAAATGTTTTTCAGTGTTCTTCCTTTTAACTTTAAGATTTCCTTTCTGCTTAATTTTTCATACTTGATTTAAATAGTTATGGCCATCTATATTGTTACCTCTACGAGGATTTGTTTTGTATGGATCTTTGCAATAAATTACACATTTCAAGAAATTGAACTTGGAAGAGTATTATTGAAAAAAAAAAAAAAACAACATTAAAGCAATTAACATTTTGTTTGATTGCTAGAAAATACTGAGGACCAGTCCTCAGAAAATTCAACTTAATAAAGGTGTCCCAGTTGTAATTTTGATCAGCTTTGGTCACTCACAGAAAATCTCTGCCTATATTATTAGTATGATCTATATTATCTGTTCTATATTATTAGTATGATCTTTTTTTAAAAGGTGGCTTTTGTTTATTTGTCAAGAATTTTAATTGTGTGAAAGGAATGTAAGATATAACCACTCTACAATTACTTATAACTATAAGCACTGACCTAAATACATTGAAATTTTAGAAGTTAAGGATCCTGTAGGAACTAACTTCAATACTTCATCTACCAGTTCTATGTGATATTGTGGATTTTTGAACATACAGTGTGTAGTCAATATCATTAGGGCCTTCTTACTAGTCCAAACTACATAATGCAGAGTGTTCAGCTTGCATTCTCTGTTTCCAGAAAACAGAACAGTGAGATGGTCCTAAAAAATGTCTTTTGTACCAAAATGGAAGTTCTCAAATTTATCTGTGGGAAAACATCCACTTATGCTCATCCTTTTTGTAGCTGCCAGATCATATATATTGGAAAATGTGATGCATTTGAATAAATTGTTAATTTTTATCAATCATTTTTTGTAAATGCTACAATAGGTTTTTGTGTGCTCATGAGTAGGAAGGCAGCTGTGAACTGAGAACTGGTATTTGTTAAAAAGATTGCCCACCTCAGTAAGCAGTGTCTGTTTAAATATAGGTGACAGTATGTCATGATATTTAAAATTCCTATGTTGTTATATATCAATCTACACATTTAACTTCCATTAAGCTAAGCCTTAATAATTAAGAAAAGTAGAAAGTTAACTGCTTGTACACTAGAAAGAGATAACAGCTGAAGTGTGGCTCTATATGCCTTTATTACCTAGAAAGTTTTTCTAAAGGCAGAGCTAATTGTCTTATTTCCCATGGGTTTGCCACATCTCTGGGAATGGTTTGTGGAAGGTACAAGCTCTAGTAGAAACTTTTCTTTTGGGGAAGCATTTACAAGGTTCCACTTGTGTCCAGTAAGATCTGAATTTGGATTACAACCCTTCCCTTGGTTGGGATACTTGCAGATCAACTTCTTCTACTTGGCTGCCTATTTTCATGAAGACTGTAGTAATGTAATTATCTTTGAGTCCTCTGTTTTGTCTGTCAAATCCATTTGAAATTGTCCAGTAAGTTCAAAAGTAATTAAGAAGGTAGCCACAGATGCACAGAACATAATGCTGCAACTTTTTTTCATAAGAAGCTGAAATGCAAACAAATATATTGAGTCATCCAAAACATTTCATTAACCTCTTTACATATGAGTGTAGTGTAATTACAGTTGTATAGAATTATACACCATTTTTATTGCTGGGGACTGATTGAATTTGGAACCTTCAAACTCTAATTAGTGGAACACAAGTGTAACCTTACATTTAGTGGCATTCAAATGTTTTTCTTTATTTGCATTTTGTAATGTTTAGTTCTGGCATATTTTGAATAACCTCCATTGATACAGGGTACTAGGCTTTGTAGACACAACACAAGACAGAGGCACTTTGAACACCTGTTTTTCTTTATTTCTGCATCTCCGCAATGGAAGAAACTGACTGGCTACTTTCTTCCCTGCCTTTTAGGTTAATAGGCACTCTAAGGAGGGGAGTCTGATAATACATAATACCACTGTCTTAACCTAAGGGTATACTTATGTCAAAATTACATCTTAAATATGTCAGAAGTGGAGAGGCTCTTTTTTCTTTTGTTTCAGGCTATGAGCTTCAGTTGCTTACTTTGAGTTTGCTTTGGTCCTCATCTGAATTTAAAGGAAATCAGTCTAGTTCTGTAAAATGGTAGGAAGTTCGTCTTACAGAAAAAGAAACAGTGAGTTGTTCAGCTGCACTGTATCTTGAAGCATACCCTGAGGAAAACTTGATGAAGGAGCCACTGTAGATATCTGAGGAGATATCTGAGGAAAAATTAGACAGAAATTGAGCTGAAATGTAGTGAAGGTTCTTTGCTTCTTGGCCAATGACCAATCTGTTAATCAGTGCTAATGTTGATGAGGAAAGGCTAACTGAAGTAGCTAGACTGCAATACCCTCTTCATGTTCCTCTCTTGTCCTTTGTATGTAGCCCAGAGGAACTAATGACACAGTAATGGTATGGCTTCTTGTATTGCTTTTGGATGACAGATGGGACAGAGCAAGAAAACCGAAACAAAGAATTCACCAAAACTCAAAAAATAAGTTTGGGCAAAAGAGTGCCTAGTCCTCATGCTTTTTGTATAGGCAATTTTACTTTGTTGTTTATTATGTCCTTATGTTTTATTTCTTTAATAAATTATTCACCCTGGAAAGTTCATAGAACATACTAATGCAAAGACAGAGTTATAAGCCCTACATTTTTAATGTATATTTAAAACTATATAATACCTTGATTAGTAATATCTTGTATTACATCTGCAAACAGGGGAAGATGTGGTTTTCGTAGCAGTATGTTCCATTGCTTAACAGAACCTCTGAGAACATGAAACTTTCTTCCAAGGAAGTCTGCCTTCCCAGTTACTTCCACAGAGTTCAATTCACATCTGTATTAAGCTGCCTTTTTTTTTTACTGCAAAGACTACAAATAAAGTGTTTGGGTAGGGGGCTAGACCTGATGTTCATCCCCATTGTATTAATAGCTACTTCTTACAGAAACACGGAGGTTGTAAAGATGATCTTTGTGTTGAAGTTTGAAAATGACACATGTATACAATAAGATTGTGGTTTTTTCCTCTGACCAGCATGGTAGGCAAATCAGGTCTTGTCTCTGTTGTGTGTCTGATACTTAAAAGACACACTTTTATCCACAACATAACATATAGTTATGTAAATGTAGGAGTGTGGAGAAGGGAATAAAAGTCAGGTATATGTAAATGCCTTCATTAACATTAGATTCATGAATATGTATCTCTCTCAAAATGCTGTGTCCTCTACCACTGTTACAAAATGTAGATTAGTAAATAAAATTCCGATGTTTCAGAAAGCAAAACCGTTTATCTGTTCAACTGTTAGCTTGTAAGTAAGATTTTGAGGTACTGTTTTGCTTGTATGTGACACAATATGGCTTTGTCAATACAAAGGTACACTGAATATATCTTCCACTCTTCTGCTGGTTTATACAAAAATATAAATTTAGTATCTCATTAATGAAAACAAAATGATCATAAATTGGTACAAGATCAATCGGAATCATTGACAAAGCTGGAAATATAAAGCAGATGATTTCTGACTCTGTATACACTGTGCAGAGTCAGAAGTTTTAAATGACATATATTTAAATTTTAGAAATAGGGGGGAAGGAACGTACAAATTAAGTTTTCTGCACAGAGTTAGAAAAAAGTGGTACTGTAGGCCTGCTGAAAAAGAAGCAAGGAATTTTTCAGTTCCTGTGTTCAGAACTTAATCTGTAAAACATCCATCTCTGTTATGTACAGATCAACTTTGAGTATTTTTTCTGAAGTTATGAATACAGGTTACATGGTAAAGTGCTATTGCTGAGGAATAGATTCAAATATCATTGCAAGATCTGAAATAATTAACATGAAAATACTAAGAAATATATTTAATGCTTTAAGAACTTTAAGATTTTAGTGCTGAGGATTTACTTTATCCTAGCTATTATTCAGTAAATTAAAAATAATGCCATGAAAATAACTTCTTCAAACTAATTTATTTCACAATTTTATATCAAAATAGTCAGATTTGCCAGCAACATTGTGCATGCTGTGTGTGCCCAGTAATAATATCCTTTAATTATATGGCCTAACTGGAAGAAAAACTAAATGTTGTATATTTAAAGATTTTTGTTGGTTTTCAATTCATCTTAACCATGAATGATACTGATCTATTGAAAATTGCCTAGTATGACAATGAAAAGAATTCCAGAATTCAGAAGTTGTAGTATTATAGGAAAACGTACCTACCCTCTAGCTATATAGGTTTTTTCTGTTTACTTTGATGTCAAGTCTCATTAGTGTTTTTTGGTATATAAACAAGGTCAGCCTGAGGTCAAGCGTAGCTAAGAACCCTGATTTGAGCAAGTAGAGCTAAGGTACTGGACCGTGTGATCCTACTCCTATTACTTTTTTTTGTTCAGTTCTTTTCATTGTTTGTTTGTTTGTTTGTTTGTTTTAATCAAATTGCAAAGTCCAGATCTTACAAGTATTTCAAGAAATTGCATCTGTATGTTCCATATTTTAAGTTTGAGCTTAAAGATTATTTTTTGGCCTTAATTACATCATCTATACAGGATTGTATTTCTAACTCTTCTTAGCAGAAAATTTGATCTGTGTTTAAATTCCATTTATTTGGAAGTGCTAGATTTAGAGCTGTACAGAGAAGAAACTTTCTTGGTAAAATATCAGACATCCCATTTGTGATATCTGCAAAAGGAATAGAGGGACAACTACATTTTTATGTTTATCTACCTCTGTAATTCAAAGGCTATTCAAAGAGAATATATCTTTAAATTTGATTTCAAATTTTAGATGAAGTCAAGTGGTTCCTTGCTAGTCCACTTGAAGTGTCCAGTGTAAGTCATTTTGTTATATCTCGTGACTTATAACAGCAAGGTATATTTTGGCTATACTGTATATATCTCTGTCATACTGCCTCCAAGTACCTACTTTCTGTCAGAATAAACTGATTAGTACACTAGAATCAATCACCTTTTTGTATGAATCTTGTCATTTTTATAAGAAATTTGAAAATGGTGAAATCATTACATTTTAAAGGCCCTTGGGTTGTGTTTTTTTGAAATAAACTTGCTGAGGTATCTGAGTAGTTCACAAAGACTAACTGCATACAAAGTCATGAGTGGGATTTTCTGTTCTGAATGGGGAAAGTATCTGTGTATCCAAGTTTATCCCTTTATATATAAAATATACAGGAGTGTGGGGGTTTGCACATTTTTAAAATTTAGGTTATTATTTTAGAGATTTGTTTCTCTTTGCCACAAAGCTTTTTTATGAAATTAAATGTTTAGCTAAGCATTCTAAATGTTTTTAACATAATTCTCTTCAATTTATGTATAATTGCCTTCAAGAACTGAAAAATGGAACTAGTCTGAAGTTCCCAGATGCTTATTAGCTTTGAAAATCCAGGATGGTGCTGGAGATGTATAAAGGCAAACTTGGGAACCCAAATTTGAACACTTGTGTTTAAGTTTCATCCATGCTCTTTAATTAACATGGATATTTGCTAAAGCAACAGTGCAGGCTTGATGCCTTTTCAAGGGGGAAGAGCAAGTTATAATCTGTGTAACCTGGAATGCTTTCAGTCACATATTAAAGTATTGACTAGTACTTAGGAAAGGTTTTGCTCCTGCACCATCAGAACCTTCAGTGGCTTAGCTGTGAGAATTAGAAGTAGAAATAATTGGGGTCAAGAGAATTGTAGGCTTATTTAACACTCAGTAGTAAAGCTAAAATGCTTCTGTTGGTCTCTGACCTTTTTGATAGAGTACCAGTAAAAGCAGATGCATTCAAACTTTCCAGTTTTCATAGGAAGTCTGGAGGTTGTTTTGTTATATTCTGTTCCTGAGGTATCTTGCCACGCTGCTTCTGAACTACAGATCATAACTTGAGATAACTGTAACAATTAATGGTGAATAACAATTACTTTAATGAGCTGTCATAATTAAATTTTAATGTCAATGATGTAAAATTCAATCTGATGTAAAAACAACATGGTTTTTTTAGCTATTTTTCAATATCATCATCTTTGTTGTTGTTTTTAGAATATTCCTGATGTAGATGATGAAGGATACAGCATTAAACCAGAAGCAACACAGGATATCCTTTTCACTATTATTGTGCCAGGTTACTTGATGTTACTACAATTCTTTGGAGAGAGGAAGTACTGATTAAAGTGTTAAGTAAAGGAAGATGAATGACATCCATGGTTATGTTGCAACCTGGTATTCTTATGTTCATACCTTTTGCAAAATGTAAAAAATTCTGTCTATCTTAGATTTTTTATGTGTGCAAATGTTAAAGATTAGATCCAATGTCTTGGGAACTTTAAGAAGATGGGTTTTGTCTGACGTAAAAAAAAAAATAAAAAAAAAGCCTGAACAAAAGCTTCAAGGTGACCATGCAGACCCTTCTCCTTGAAAAGCTCTTAGAGAGTTTTTAACATAGTCTGTAAACTTTTTTAAGCATATGGAGTGGTTGTCTGTTCTATAGCTGCACCCTCACACTTTTTTATAAAACCGTTAAAAAGACTAAGAGTTCCAGCAGTCTAGAAATAGAATTTCTGTTACTTAATAAAATCATTACACCACATGCTGTTACTAATTGATGCTTCTAGCTTTTATTATCTTTTATTGCATTTTTAATAATAGCTTTGATATGCAGAATAGATTTTCATTATGAGTCATTTTTTGTGGAGGCTTGTGATTTTTTTCTGCTCTTTCTTTGAAGGAAAAAATTCTTGTCTTTTATCCTACCATCAGAAACAGAGGGAAGCTCTACTTAAGAGCTGGGAATAATGCTGTAGATTTAAGCAAGCCTAATATGTTAGCAAGATGGCTTATTTTTGGAGGTATATTCACTGAATTCTCTGGGTACTGCAGATAAATGGTAAATTTACACTTTACAATTACCTTAAATTGTGAAAACTTTTAAGCAGTTAACAGCACCTTAAAGTGTGCTAGTCCATCATCATAGCTTCTCTGCTTTCACCAACCTTGAAGAATATGTCTCTGTTGCCCCCAATGAAGATTCCTGTACCATTAAAATCAGTTCATGTTATCTCCTATCTACAAATTTGATATAAAAGTGAAAGTCTTCTATCCGGTTCTGAAAGGGGCATTATTACATGCTTTGCATATATTTATGAAAGGGAGAGAGGAGTAAACAGCGTTCGTGCTTTGTAAATTATTCATCTGGGCATCCTTTTCTACATTATCTTTTATGTTGTGAAACAATAGAGAAGGCCATACAATCAGTGAAAAAGCTCAATAATTTGCAATCCATGTTAGCCAGGTAGTAGTACTTCAGCTTCTGAAAATCTTGGTCAGCTTCAGGAAGTTATAAGTTCCCTTCCTCTTTTCCTCTCTTAGCCTCCAAGAGTGGATATTTATTCTGTTGATGGGAACTCTTGAGATGATTTGTTGGAGGACATTATTTTACCAAAATAGCAGTCAGTCTTAGTAAGTCTAGTCTTAAATATTGGAAAAGCACTTTACAAGAGCTGTATGATTGGTAGGAAATGAATCTTGAAACTTGATAAATTTGAAGATGATACCTTTTGATTAAATGAAAAACAACTTGTCTTTAAAACTTTCTTTTCTAGATATGAATCATTCTGGGGGACAGATAGGCTGTAAGATGAAGATATTTGACTTTTTCCTCACTGTGACCCAGGGATTCTTTCATTTGAAATGGAATTGGATTGTCTTTAGGGTTCAGGTTTTAATCTTTGTGAGGGAATAGTTTGAAGAGTTTTCATTCAAATGGATGGAATATTTCCAAGTGAAAATAGCAGAAGCGAGGTATAGAATATGTGTGCTCCTCCTAGGCAGTACAAAACCTTTATATTTAAGTAGATGAAAATTTTCAAATCCTTTCATGACAAAGCAATTGCATCTTTTAAGACTTAGCATAGGCCTCTCAGAGCTTTTATTTAGTGCAGTTCCTGTGCATATAAAGATCCAATGCTAAAATCATCTTCATATTATGCTTATTTTGAGGGCTGAGTTGTCATTGTGATCCCTTTTTTGTCAAGGATGATAGTGCTTTAAGCAGCTGACATTGTTCAGTTTACTGTGCAGCCTTCTATGTAACTGGCTTCCTTTTTTATGAAATTTTCAGTGCCACTCTGCAAAAGGGGCAAGTAATGGTGGCTGCCGGTGCTGCTGCTTCCTCTACTGTTAGTGCTTGGTACAGGTACCATTGGCATTCTACTGCTAATTAAAAAGTCTAGGGCTTTCCTTCACTTTGTTTAAAAGGATTTTACATTTTTCATACATGTGTTAGAATCCCTGTTTGAGTCTTACAAATCATAAATTTAATATGCAGAAGCGTTGCTGCTGTAGAACCTTTAATTTATCCTGATGCCTTCAAATATGCAGCTGTTCAGTTATATGACATAGTGCCTTTCAGAACAGAATATCATTATGAAGCTGAATGGAATATGAAAGCTAAATTTTAACTTTGAGTTGTGAATTTTGGACAATGGATATATTTGAAGTGTCTGTATAAGTGCACAAAGATGTTAGGCAGCATTGTTTATCTGTGGTGTTCACTTAATATGAGAATTTTTTAGAGCATAATTATGAAATGGATTAAGCAGATTAATTTGAAGTATTTCCACCTTAACTGAGAAAAACATACCAAAGAGAACCATTTCTATTCATCCAGTGATTCAGACTCTGAAGACGATGAACCCAGGAGGTTCCATGTAGAAATAAAACCTGTCCAGCCAAATAATAGCTCTCAATATACCAAGCCTTCCTTGGATGAATTAAAAGTATCCATAGGGAACATCACTCTTTCTCCAGCAATATCTGTAAGTTATGTTCTTCCTTGTATTTTTAATCCATTGAAGAGAAAATTGTTATAGAATCTTTAGTGTAAACATATCTTTTATTGTTCAGAATTTATTCTAGGTTCAAGTTCAATGATACATTTTTTCTTGTGCACTAGGTCATCTTTGGTACACTGTATTGCAGTGTAACATTAAGTAATTCTCTGGTCTCAGATTTTAACTTTCCTCTGAGTCTTTCTTGGGAGTGCTCACTTCTTGTCTTTCTGCTGTTGTTACCACAAGACACTGTAATACATTGTGGAGATAGCTGAGCATGGCTTTTAACATACTTTACTAATTCTTATTCAATAATAAAGAAACCTTTAAAACAGATCATATAGTGTGGATACACGTAACATTTACAGTGCGGCTTTATTGATGTATTCTGCCAATCCACAGAACAATTCTTTATACCATGAGATGATATTACAAATAAATAGTATTAACATGTGCTATTACAATATTCAGATCAGAATAAAAACAGCTCTAATTTTAAGGAAAATATTGTGCATAACATTAAAATAATAATGATGATTTTTCTCTTCCCCCTGCCCCCGCCCACCCATTTTGAAAGCAGAGGCACAGTCCTGTAAGTACAGAATGGCTTTTTATTCACATTTTTAGATTAAAACCAAGTAAGTGTAGTATGTGAGGGGAGTTACTGGGAAAACCTTAGGAATGTTTCTTTTCATATATACCATGTGATGTATAAGCTGTTTAATTTTACTGCCCCAGACTGTAAAGCGATTTAGTAATACTGCTCCCTTTGTCAACTCTACAGTGTTGATTCCTGCCTTTTCTTACTGGTGTGGTGGGTGTGCACAGGTTGCTCTGTCCTGGCTCATGTTCTGGTGTTCTGCAAGTTCAGAATGTTTTGCCTGGCATTGAAAGGGAAGCAAAATAACTTATAGCAAGTTGAATGGAAATAAGAACCCTGGGATTATTAAGCATTTTATTTGATAGTTGGTAAAATAATTTATTCCTAAGTTGGTTTGGTTTTGTTTTTGTTTTTTCCATTTTAGGCACTAATGAATCGAAATTCATCCAGTAAGTGTGCATCTTTAAGTTTTAGTCTATTTATGTTAGTTTTTTAACATAGGACGAAAATAGATTTTTTTTTTTTAATTGTTGAAGAAATAAACTTCGTAACTAACTATTGTAAAAACAAACTATTGTAAAAACAAACTATTGTAAAAAGAGAAAAATATTTCTCTTGTCAGTTCTAGATACGTCTTCTTTTTCTATATATTCAGCTGTTCCCTATTCTAGGAAACAGATGAGTCTGTCTGTGGCAGTGATGAGGAACACATCCAAGAGCCAAAGGGGGAACCCCATGGGAAAGACTCCTGTGCAAGTTCTTAAAACTTTCCACCTGCTCAAATTTAGTATGGCCCAGAAACAAGCAAAGCATACTCTCTCTATTCTATAGTCAAACACATAAAACATGGCCATGGAGATAGAGAACAGTGCATTAGCCTCTATTCTGTAGGGGATTTTTTCAATTGGAAACCAAGCCAGATTTGCTGAAGAATAATATTGATGTAAACAGTATAATTTAAGGAAGAAATTTCAAGTGAACAACAATTCCTCCCAAAATGCATTGCTCTGTGTAGTCCTCTCCTATCAGAAAGTATTTTAGGAGTATCTGAATTGATATTATCAGAAGTAATGCATTTTCTCTTTTCCATTTTAATAATTCATAATTAGTAACTGCAACCATTAATATTTACTATCTTTCTATAATGAAGCTGAAATTTTTATTTAATACTGTGTCTTTTGCTTAGGTGAGGAGTTAACAAAATCAAAGCTTTCTGCTCCAACTAATGAGTAAGTTCAAATTTAAAATTCTGTCAAATGCAGTTTTGCAGGAATTTGGTCTTAGTTTGATCTAATACTTGGAAACTCATCGGAAATATCCACTGACTGCTGTTTTAAGTCAAGCATCTATTGCATCATAAGACTTAAGGAATAGTTATGTAACAATGGTTATTTTTATGAATTTGTTTTCCCTTCTAATGCATTTGCTTCATTGTGATCTGTCTCAATTGATATTTATAATTAAATTATTACAAAATATGAGGGTTTATTAAAATTTCAGATTTCAAATAAGACAGGTTGAGTTTCTGTCCTATAGTGTTTTCCATGGTAAGGTATTTATGTTTACAAGACACAGATCTGGATAGATCTGTGTACATTGCTGATATATGTATGTACTGAAATAAATGGATTTGAAGATATATGTCTCCTTGAAAATTACAGTCATTTAACTGATATTATGAAGTATATCCACACACAAACCATGTGTTGGTTCAGATAGTCTCCTTCTGTATAAGTCAGTTCCTTGACCTGCAACTTGTAAGTACTTTTTTAGATGCAAAGACTAACTAATAAAGAAGAATTTATCAAATTTGTTTTTCATATTATTATATTTATTAACAAACTACTACTGAAGTTGTAGTTTGATTTATATGAGTATATACATCTTTCATTTATATTCCAATTGTAACTCTTAATATAGAAAGGGGAACAGTGACCTCCTGGCATGGGATCCACTCTTCAGCAGTTCTCTTGAATCTTCCTCTTCAGCTTCCTTGGCATCCTCATCCTCCTCAGGTAAAATATTTTATAGTAGAAAATGTTTTCTCTACATACTTCAGGATGTCCTGTTTTTGCTTTTTTAGCTATTGCAAAGGGACATGCTTTGACTATTGAAATTAAATAATTTTGTAAAGCTGTATATTATCTTGTAAGTAATACACAACTGAAGGTGCAGTATATCAGGCTTTCAAGCTAGGGAGCAAAGGGAAAGAGGGAACACTAGAAACCTCAGGAAAATTCTGTCTTGCTTCTGCTTTTTTTAATAACCTCTCACTTTCAAAAAAAATTATCACTATCTAGAATATATTCCTATTTTTTCAGCTGGTAGAGCTGGGAGATGAAATGGAGGTTGTTGCAGCAACTGTGAGACAAGCTGTGCAAGCACTGTGAATAAAGATGGATTTCTTTCCAGGAAGACCTGTTGAGCTATATAGTACAAAAGCACCATGGAACTTTGCTGTGAGGATCTTGTTTGCTGTAGGAAACCATGATTCTGTTAGGAGATGTGCGGGCATAATAGAAGGGAAGCTGGATAAAAATGGCAGGACTGAAACTAGAATTAAGGGGAGTTCCCTGAGAGCAAGGGTAATGGGAGGAAAGGGGTGGATTTAGGAATATAGGAGGTAGAAGGGGTAGGGCAGTTGTTGCATGGGAACTTTGGGGTGCAGGATTCTGGAGGATATTAGTGTGAGCAGGACACTGGCAGGCTTTTCTGAAACCTGGTCCTTCTGGGGAAAAAAAAATCGTATCACAGAAATAGTCAATATTGATTGTTACATTCAGAAGACAGTGAAGGAAAGGGAGGCAAAATAGCATATGAATGGGTATGTGTTGAAGAGGCTGAGAGCAGATGTTGAGAAACTAGTTCATAAAAAGGAAGAAGAGACCGAAACAAAAACAGATGTTATGGCTATGTTAGACCTGCTCACTAAAAGTATTTATTTGCATTATTTATTATTTATGTTGATTATCTCAGCGGATTTAAAGCAGAATCTACTATTTATTAACAGTAGCAGGTACGATGGTTCTTTTCATTCTACGGACTATGTATCTATTTTCCAACCCCTGCTGTCTTAATTTAGAGACTCTTCTCCTCCCACATATCTGAGAAATGAAGTGTTCACTGTTTCTTTTAGCTAGGTATACGTATTCCAAAAATTATAATATATCTTACTTCTTTGTTCATAATCACGGCTTTCTAGTTGTTTTCCTCTGTGCTTGATCATACAGATTGGAGAATAGTAAGGAAGAGTGCAAATATCAGTAGGGGAATTCTGCCCAGCCAGTGTTAATTCTTCTTGGCCTTTTTTTTAACAGCAACCAGCATTGCTATCTAACCCTTTTAAGTGGAACTTACTCTTTTACTAAAAATTCATGTTCCTTAAAATTTACAGTTTTTAACAAACCTAGCCGATAGAAATCATTAGATTGTCTCCTCCTCACTTAGGTAACCAGTCAATATTATTGGCTAGTGGATCAAAATTTGTAACATATTTAAGGATAAACTATATAGAGATATATATTACTGGAATATGCTGAAAAGAAGTGGTGCTTTCTCAAAATAATATGTTTTACTAGCTTTGGTCTGTTGTTGGAGTCTGTAGAAGAAGGTAGAGGATGGTTAATTTGTTGAGGATGCTGGTGGTTGTTACTGCATAGGTTTTCCAAATGTATTACTAATACATTTTGGGAAAAAAACCCAACTGAATCAAATGTAGATCATATTGCTGTTTAAATCAAGTTCTGATGCTCACTAACCTGCAGCTTAGTTCTAAAGACTTTTAAAAATACACAATTTTGATCTGATTGTATTTTCCTTGAAATCAGTGGTTTATCTTCAACTTGAAGGTTAATATAGGTAAGCTGATGCTTAAAGCTTTTGAAAATCTCATTCCAAAAAGTTAAATTACATAAATTAGTTGTTTTGTATACAGCATATTCTCATATCATGATACAGCATGTCTCACAGATTACTTTTTTCTTTTTACTGTTAAAATATTTCTTTAGATACTGTCTCGTAACTTTGTGTTAATCATTGAACACTTAAACTACCATGGTATTTGAGCAGACAGCTGTTTATGCAGCACAGGAAAAAACTTTGGTCATCCATGAATAATGCTGCTTTATTAGAAGCTTAAGCTAACTTGGTTATCTTGAACAAACACAACAAACATTTTTTAGCCAGTTATTGATATTGAAAAAATGCTTCTTTTTATTTATCTTCCTCATTTCCATCCATATGTATTTTTAAAATAGTTTTGAACATTTCCACATTGCTTTTTGAATAGACTTTATAGTAGTAATTTAAAGCCTTTGAATTATATTTAAAATATGTTAGAAAGGGAAAGCTGTGTTAAAATTCTATTTATGTGGGCTTAGAGAATGTACTTGTTCATGGCAAAGGGACCACTCTAGAGAGGACACCTGTACTTTTGATCCGAACTTTTAAACATGTTGCTCTCTTTTTTGATTCTGTATGTCACTCTGCTGTTGCTCCCAGCTTTGTCAATCTGCAAGATGTTGAAAGTTGACTAACCTTGCATATTCTGCTTCTGTTGTCATCTACTGCAACAGGCAACAGCCAAGTGCAGAGAATACTTGTGGAAAACTCCTGTTTTCCAGCAGCCTGAAGACTAGGATGAGAGAGGAAGTAAACTGGGGTGGGTGTTGCCTCATACATAGTTACTCTCTGATACAGGTTGATACAGACAGAGAAGTCTCAAACAGGATCTCATGACTGGCTTGTCTTTATTCATTCACCAGACGGGCATTTATGTTGGGCTTTCCAGTTACAAATGTTAAGGATAAGAAGATAAAAATGTTTGGAAGGAGCAGGATAGGATAAGTTTGATTAAATAACTTTGAAATAAATTAAAAGCAGAAAGCTATGGAGATGAAACAAAAATGGAATAGGACACAAGAAGGAAAAGTCAAAGATGAAAGTTAAACCATGACACAGAGGAAGTTAGAGGAATAAGGAAACTCATGAGAAGTAGAGCTGTAAGTGGAAAGAAACACAATAAACTACTTTTTGGCTTACTTAAAAAATGGAAATTGACATGGCTGGCATTATGAATGAAGTACATGTTATATGTGGCTGGGGTATTTTTCCTCTTATTTGTAAGTGGTGGGATTTTTAGCCTAGTAGAGCTGTTACTTTTCATGCTGGCTAGTAATCCTCATGCAGTGGATACTGAAAACTTTTTTGAATATTGAAATTTTTATCTTTTCAGTGTTGGTCCTAGTTTCAATTCTTCCCTTTTTCTTCAGCTACACTAAAAGAGCACAATAGGAGCTCCTCCTCATCTACCACTGATTTGCCTGGGTGTAGATCTCAGTCTTTGCTTGAACACCAGACAGATTCTGGGTCTACAAGCCCATCCTCACCAGACTTTACCATTAGCACTTTGTGCAAATCTAGTGTCACAGCAGCGTCATCAGGGAGTACCAGTACTTTATCCTGTGTTTCACGGTCTCAGAGTCAGTGGATTTCCTTTGCTGATGAACTTCTTACAATTAGACACACAAGCACAAACAAGAAGGATCCCCAAAGATTGCATTTTAAAACTGAAAATGCCTGTCTTGCTTCTTCTGCTTTGCTGGGGAATTCTTCCAACATCTATGCTTCTGAGGATCAAAGTGACCTTTTCAATAATACTATATGCCATGAACAGTTATTCATTGAAGAAACTGGCACTGCTGCTGAAATTTCTTCCACATCATCTTCAGCACTACTGGACTATAGTTTAGTGTCTTCTTGTGCTCATACAGATAAGGGTATGGCAAGCATGCGTTGTGTACTATTCTTTGCTAATAACTGACTCCAAAAAGCAAGCTATGGACTCATTTTTCTTTTTGTTATTATTGCTCACCTGATGTTAAAATTAACTCATCTTCTTACTTAGAATGTACTAAACTGCTTGTTAGCACCAACTTCCTTGAAAGGTTAGGACAGTGAAGTAAATATTCAGCTTGAAATAAGAAGTAAAATTCAAATTATTCAATTAAAGGCACTGCTTTCTCTTAACTATACAGAGCTTTGCTTTTCTAGAATTAGGAATGTATTTTTGTGGGATGTCAGACAGCAGTGAGATCTCAGATTAAGTGATTGCATTTGCAAAAACAATTCCATTCCTAAATGGCTTTGTATAGATTTTGCAGATTAAATAAAGTTAAATAAATCAGATTTAAACCTGTTCCTTTTTAACACCCAGTATTTTGCAGTGAGGATGATATCAAGGTAATGCAACATATTAAGAGGGCAAAGGAAAGGTGCATTTGGGCAACTGTGTGCCATGACTCACTGAATACTTGTGGTACTGCAGCAGACTAGTCAGTGTTTAGCATGCACTGTCATGTCGGAGCATAATAAGAATTTTAAAGGAATGACTGATATTTTAGAAGTTAATTTATCTGGGGACATTTGAGTTTGCAACTCTTAAGGGGATGTGGTCAGTATTAGCCTGATTTCTTTCTTCCTAAGTTAGTGGTGAAACTCCCGTATTTAAATGACAGCAAAGTTATCCTGGATGCCTGAGAAAACTCCATACTTAAAAGTTGCATTTTGGATAACAGTAACTGATATAATTTTTAAAAGAAATCCAGAATAATTTGAAGGAGATAATAGGATATGCTGCAACAATATAGTCATATGTTAGAATTTCAGTCTATTCTGAAGTTAATTTTAGATCTGGCATACTCATTGGATGGCATCTAACATTTATTTTGAAACACAGTTCTATTAGTGCTGTTCAGAAAAGTGACTTTGTAAAAGTGGCATCTATCTACTGCTGCCACCATTTGTTAGTTGTTTCTCTTAGGTTAAGAAGGACATGGGGGCAGTATTTTTTTTAACTGCTTTGCACTTCCAGTAGCTTGGCTAAGACATAATAAGGAGTTAGTGCATTCTTACAATCAACAGAGTAATTTATCTGTTATCCAGGTGTATCCTTATTGAAGACAATGGGAATTCAGTGGGCAAAATTTGGTGTAAACAGAGTTGTGCCTTTGTCAGCCAGAACCAAATACGAATTTCCACTGAATTTTTCATTTGTGGTGAGGCATGAAAGACTGTACTATATTCTGAATCCGTACAGATTATAAACAAAAGGAAACTCAGGTAAAACCATCTTTTTACATACAAACCTTTAAGAATAGTTGGTATAAAATAATTTGAGAACAATGAGAAAGCCCATGATGCCATTTTTAGAGTCACTTTTCAGGGTATTACATGACCCTACTTTAAAAGCATTTATGGTTAGTGGCAAGTCTTACAAAATGGAGCTTGTAAATAGGAACTTCTAATAGAAACATAATTTCCAGTTATTCTATTCAAGTGAGTACGTATTTATGTTCATTGTGACCCTTCTAATATTTATTTCCTTAAATTTGCTTTCTTTCAGCAAGACCCACAACTCCTCTTTCTGTAGGCACCATTGTACCCCCTCCAAGGCCTGCTTCAAGACCAAAGCTGTCTGCTGGGAAACTTAGTGGGATTAATGAAATAGTATGTATTGACTGGGTTTTTTTAATTCTTCATTGTAACTTGATTTCAGATATACCATTCATTTGCACTGTTACAGTGGAGTTACTTTCCAGCCAATGTTCAAGGAATCACATAAGCAGATTTTCACCATTGCCAGATAGACATGGAAGTTGTTCGTGATAACTATATTACTATAACAAAATAATTCTTAAAAGAACTACAAAGGTCCAAAACATAATTTTTGCATTAGCTGAATGTTTTTAATTGAACAAACCAGTAATTTGATAATGAAAGCATGGCCTGTGTATGAGATTGAGGTTTTCAAAATGTGAAATACTAGTGAATTTATGAACAAAGATCCATTGATTTAGGGATATCACCAAACCTTTGGGGAATGAATGGTATTAGGTAGATCTTTATCAGTCGTGTTGACACAAGTAGCCTTGCTGTGACTTCTCCCTGCCCTTGGTGCTGGTTGGTGGAGAAGGGAGGTGGCAGACTGCAGCAGCTGCTCATTGGCATAGTGAGAGGTTGCACGCTGCTTGCATCTGCTCACTGCCTGCAATGCAGGTCCACCTGCCGATAAGGAATGTGGCAAAGAATGCAAATACCCAGGCAGCATATCAGACCAAGCCATGCTTAATCTCCTCTGTATTGGGATTCTTTAGTTGTCATTTGACTTACTGACTTGGAAAAATGTTACTGTGGTAAGATACTCTTACTGTCTTTCAAAGTAGCAAGATATTTTCACCATATTCTTGTTACGGACAAAATTCTGGTCTTATGCTTTGACCAAACTGCAACACTATATTAAACTGGTTTGCATTTCTGAAAGGTCAGAATGGAGTTAATTTTAAGGTTCTTTTCTCATTCCAATAGAAAATTGTAGTAATTGCTCTTAGAGCAAGGAATCTGTTCTTCATGTCATCATAAATGAAGAGAAGAATTTAGCTGGTATTGGTTTGCTATAAAGTACAATTCTGCACAAAGCAACATTCATTTTATACTGTTCTTTTTTAGAGTTGGCTATTATTTGGATACAAGTGTAAGATTGTCACTTGTTTTCTTTTTATATAACCTTCTTTTACAATTCATATAGTCTGTGTAAAAGCCACATGCCCAGCAACAAGTGTGATAGAACCTAAATAAATAAAAACACTCAACCAGTTACCCAGCCAAAACAAATGCTTCAGGGGTTCCAGTACCTTTTAGATAGCTTAATCCCCAAACGATCATTAGTTAGTTTAATATCCAAACAGTAAAGTGAATCATAAAACCATCCAGAGATTTAAGATGGAAGAGACTTTTGGAGATCTCTAGGCCAACCTCCTGCTCAGAAAAGGGCCAACTCCAAAATTGCAACAGGTTGCTAGGGAACATGCTGAGTTTTGAAAATCTCCAGAGAGGGACATCTTGCAATCTCATCAGACAACCTGTCCCAGGGTTTAATCATGAGGTTACAAGAAGGAATTTTTTCCCTAAATTCAGCTGAAGATTCCTTTGCTGTAGCTCTTGAACTCTGAGAAGAGCCTGACTCCACCTTCTTTGTACCCCCTCTTAGCTAATAAAAGACTGATAGTAGATCTCTCCTTCTGTTCTCCAAGCTGAACGAACCCAGGTGCTTCATCTTGTCCCCCTCTCCCATGTACTCCAGTCCCAACTATTTTAGTTGCTCTCTGCTGGACTCCCAGTTTGTTAGTAGCTTCTTAGCTCTGTAAATCCACATTTGCTGCACACATACACAGGGCTGTAGGCTTAGCTTCTGCTGCTGTGTTATAGCACAATTATTGACAGGCTGCTACATAATCAAATATATTAGACTTAACTACTTAGGCAAAAGATTAATAATGATAACCTATGAGACAATGGAACTGATTCCCATGGAAAGTGGGGGGTTTCTGTTTTACACTAAAAACTAGAGTAGATAAAGCATTAGAGGAACTATGTTGAGAAACACTATGAAATTGATTGGGGCATGAAATAAAGAACTCTTCTATTCATAGGCTTTTTTTTCAGGTCTTTAAAACCACTTTGTGTAATACTATTGTAATTTCTTTTGTTCAGCCTAGGCCGTTCAGTCCTCCATTGACCTCTAACTCAAGTCCACCTCCTGCAGCTCCCTTGGCACGTGCAGAGAGCATTTCCTCAATATCCTCTTCTGCTTCCCTCAGTGCAGCAAACACACCTACAGTTGGTAAGTTAAATTAACCATTTCAAATTATTTTAGAAACAACATAATTATGCCACTAGGTTCTACCTGTTAGGAGAACCGTTCATTGGAGTTAGTTGTTCCATATCTGAGTCCAGTATAGGTACTTCAAGCTTCCTTTGCAATACCTGCTTCCAAGTAACACTGAGAGACAGGACAGTGGATTTAATTGGATTAGACCATAGATCCAGTTATGGCATGTTCTTTAGGGAAATAATTTTCAAAATTAATATTCCATGAATTCTTATTAGTATGCTTGTATATCCATTCATTGAGCACAACATGTTATCATGTATTTGTTCAGAAGATGTTATTGTATAGGTGCAGAAGTATTTTGGGATACTGATAAATTTGAATTAATATAAATATTCACAAAATTGAGTTTTCTTATGTTCTTTTTATTTTGTTTGTTATCCTGTAATTGCAGTTTCAAAAAAAAAAAAGAAACTAATGCATCTTTTTTCTTCAAGCCAGTGAAGTATATAAGCTAAACAGAGGTGTTTAGTAAAAGCAGAACAACCAACCAAAAAAGAAAAATGAAAAGCAAATTAGTCTTCATGTGTTGCCACTAATTTCAGAAGGATATCTAATGTTTTTAAAGGAAAGTCCTTCAGTTTTGATATTTGACTATAACAAATGCAGAGGAGACTTGAGGGGCAAAGGGGTGCTTAAACACATTTTAACTTGTTTCTGTAGTAAAGTATTTCATTCCTGGACACTATTACCAGTTTAGTCCCAAGTTAAATCAGATTTTTGCATTAATATTCAGTTATCTGTGAATGTTACTGATGCCAAGGATTCCTTGCCCAGGCTCAGCACCTCAGGAGAGCATCTGCACAGCTTCTAGCAAGAGTTCTGCACTGAAAGCAGTGCAGCTGTTTTCACCCTGTGCAGGACCAAAGCTTCTAAGGTCTGCCCAGCCTTAGCTGCTACAGTTCAGTGTCCACCAGCTTCCCAAATGCTGAGAAACATAAGAGAAAGGTAACTGATATTTTGGTTGCCAAAGTCCATCCAGGCTCACATCCTCAGGCCTCAGCACTGATGCCAAGGAACCAAAAGTTGGTGGCAGCAGCATCAATAGCCCCAGCTCTCTGAGTGTGTGTGTTGTTGGAGACAGTGACAGAATGAAACCATGAGGTGAGGGAGGAGGTAAGGAGGTGTGTGCTGACACCAAGGTTTGACATGATTATTAACCTGGCCTAGCAAAAATAAACAAAGCTGGTTCCACCTGCACTGACTGTATGAATTAAATAGTCCTGGAGAGCTGGGAAGGACAGTGCAGACAGCTGAATCACTTCGGGGCTTGAGGGTATAGTCTGCACTACTGTCTGTATTCTTTTAACTTTTGCACAGTCCAGTGTTTCCCTTACCCTATTTTTTCTGAATAATGGAGAGTTGACTCTAATTATCATTTTCCAAGCAAAGATTAAGGCATGCATAATTTAATGTTTCTTTTATGCTTTAGCCTTATTTTAATTTGCAAAGTATTTTTATTTATATTAATTTTTTAACATCTTTTTTTTGCTTGAAATATTTTGTTTTCTTGCAATGTTTTGTTTCATTTAAATGTAATAGCGGATGATCTTTTGATTGGAAATCTTCCTACAATTGAAAAGCTTTGTGAGACACCACCAGGTATTGTACTCAAAGAAGATTTACGTGTTAACTAATCATCCTAATACAGTACACCTAATAAAATTGTATTTCTTTTGGATCGTTTCTCCAGCTGTTTCTGGTATCTGGCAGATACAAGTAGCTTGACAGCTCAACTACATAACAAGTTATATGTTACTGAAATCACCAAAACTTGATATAACTTCTCTTATATAACGTAATCTTCTGTCTATCCCTGTCCCACCCCACCCCCGCCAAACAAGCTGAAACTTGGTCTTGCTTCTTCAGTTTGTCACTGCTACTTTCTTTCAAGAAATGTGAATGCATTTTTACTTTGAAAATCCTTATTCTCATAGGACAAGTAGGTAAAAAGGTAGAAATCTTTGAAAATACACATAATAAAGGTAATCTTTCTCTAAATAAATTTTATTTTCATGACAGACATTTAGCTAATATTAGAATTGTCTGTATCTTTGTTCCTAAACCGAACTAAACCCATTTGATCACGTTTATTTACTTGCCCTTTTTATGACCAATGATGCAATCTTTTGTTCTGCAGTTTGGCAACCTCCTTGTCAATGCAACTGTTTGCATGGTTGTGTCACTAGCTCTTGTGTCAGCACAGCTCAGGGGCTGTTAATGGTGTTCGGGGCTGACGCAGGTGGCAGGGCATCAAAGCCAGCTCAAATCCCATCCCTCTGAGATCTCACAGCAGGTGTGGAAGGCCCTGAAGCTGCATATTGCTGCACTGCATTGTATTTCCAGCAGCAAGACAACAAAATGGTGACTTACAGAATTAGGTTAAGCAGTTACATTTGTTTTAATTTATTGTATTTTAGGAGAACACATAGGTTTTTATGAATCAAAGGGTGATGAACCATGGGGGCAAAGGAAATAAGAGAGAAACTACCTCATTTGTAGTCTCTCAAATACAGCTCAGAGAAATGCATATACATATATATATATATTTATATTTGCTTTGGTGTTCCTCCAAAAAAGTAAAAATCATGTTATTATTCCTAATAAATTTCACTCTTCACTCAAGAACTTGGTATTTGTCTTTTACTGATAGGAATATAATTGATATATTTGCATTATTCTTAATTATTTTCAAATATCAAAATATATCAATATATAAAAATATACATAAGGACATTGTAAGTAAAGGACTTAAAATAATTTATACATCTGTAAACAATCTGGTGTAATTAATACAATATCTGCTCTGCAACTGTTTGTTGTTCCTTACTAAATTGGGGGAAAAAGACAGTAAAACACACAACCAACCTTAGTGCCACATCCATTGAGTGCATATTTTGGCTTTAATGGAGAATACTTCTGGAGTTCAGCATATCACCAAACAATTTCTGGTTGCTGTTAACTCATTATTTTATTGCACATTTGCTTCTTGAGAACATGAATTCTGTATTCCTGAGACTATTGAAAATCACAGCTTTTATTGATAATTTTCATGGAGAGAAAGAAAACTTTAGAAACATGTCCTATGTATTGTCCACAAGAATAAATAAAACCAACCTATTGTTCATATTGAAAAAATAAATCTGTGTTTTGTAGCCAGCATCATAATATTTAGTTCATCAAAGAAATTTTGGGTTTGATGCTCTAGCCACAAGTGTTCACTTTTGATCTAAGCAGGCCTAATTGATGCACTAAGACTTTTTTTTTATGGTGCTGAGAAGTATTCTGAATATTTTACTACTTTAGGCAAGAAATCATAATAGAGAGTGAGGTATGAGGTAGCAGAATTTGACCAACTCCTGTCTTTTACCCTCTGGTTGTTACTACTTCTTTCACTTATCTATGAACTTAAGAGTCCTGTGAAGAACAAGGTCCCAACTTCCCTTTTGCTTCTGAAAGAGCTCGGGAGGCACAGTCACTGTTTTAAATATGACTGGTTTGCCATGAGCAATATTATACAGAAGCATTTTGTTTCTACTTTATGGAATGAAAGAAAAATTTCTCATTTTGCTCATGAAACAAGAAAGATTGTGCCTGCTCTGTGATAGATAATACTATGTGATACAAGTAATTCCAGCAGTGGTGCAAAAAATTAGTAGGATGCTCTCTGCTACACTGCTGCACTAAAAAAAAAGGCAGAACTTCCAGTATTGTCTTTTATATTCAGTACACATGTAGAAAATGGGTGAGAATTAAAATCCTATGACAACCGATTTTGTCAATTGTACACACACATTTCAAAAAGCCTTTTCATGAGGTCTGAGCTGATTTTTATAGCTATGCACTGGAACTGTGTTGTGTTGGCACAGGCATATGTGAAGGATTCTCCAGCAATATCTGTTTGGGAATTGTAATCTTTGTTGACTGAAATAGTTAAAGAATGTTCAGCAGTTCACTGATGCGGGGTAACATGAATATATTTGTACTGAAGTTCATGCATACTGTAAGTGAATTCTTTTCATTTCTGTGACCATGATAAATCATACTTTTTTCCATACAATAAGCATACAGTAGGGATTTTTTTTTTTTTTAAGTAGTGTAGTCAGTGTCTAGTTTCCTTTGGATCTGTTGACTTCACTTTCATCAGTAGCCATTTTAATGCAGTGTTTCTCTGTCTCATGTATTTCCTTGCATCTGTCCATTTACATCATGTAATACTGATAGTCCTGTTTTCTTAGGCTGCTAAGCAGTGTTTTGATGGTACGATTGTACTGTACTTTGCTTATATTTTTCTACACACTTTTCAAGTAATACTTCAGACACTACTGTGACCGTGACGGTAAAAATTCTTGTCAAAACTACGGATGTAGTCAACCGTTCTGAAATCTATTGCTAAACTTTTTGAAAATTAAACCTATACACTGTATGTATTCTAGGTGTTTCACGTGGTCCCAGCCCTGTCAGCCTTGGAAACCAGGACACCTTGCCTGTTGCAGTAGCCCTTACTGAATCTGTTAACGCCTACTTTAAAGGAGCAGATCCCACAAAGTTAGTTAAATAGTGATATTTTTTTTTTTAAATGTAATAAGATACAATAAGAAAACATGCTGGGTAACTTTTAATATTTTGGGGGAAAATGTATGTACATTAGAAGGGGGATTCAAAGTTTGGGGTTTTCTCCCCTGGTTTAAGTAATAACAGTGGCTTATTGCTCTGTATTGGCCTGCATCTTGCTAGGAGTTCATACATCCCTGGTTTACAAAAAAGTGTTCAGTGAGAACACTGAAAATTAGAAGGGCTTTTATCATAGTCAGATAGGTGCTACATGTAAATCTGGGCAGTTAAAAGCACCTCATTCCCTCTGTCACATCCCTTGCTATGCTAATTAGGCCTTGCCTAAGCATAGTTGTGCTGTGTTTTCAAAGCCTGGAAAATACCCACCAAGCCTACTGTATGCTTAACCAGCTAAACTTTTTTTCTGTACTTATTTCATCTGACTCCCAAGTTTAAAGTGACAGTACACTGTCACATTACCCTCATTTGAAATTGATTTTCTGTTTTTAATTCAGTTCATCAGATTCTGAAAGTACAGTGATTGCTTTAAAACTAGTATTAAAACTGGGCAGTTAATGAGTTGCAATGAAACTGATGTTTTCATTCTCTAGATGTATTGTGAAGATTACCGGTGATATGACAGTATCGTTCCCAAGTGGGATTATTAAAGTATTCACCAGCAACCCATCTCCAGCTGTGCTGTGCTTCAGGGTGAAAAACACAAGCAAACTAGAGCAGATTCTTCCAAACGCACAACTTGTATACAGGTTTTGTATTATTTTTTTAATATAATAATAAACTACATGATTTGTAAAATGTGAGTTGTTGTATATGTAAATCAGAATACTCTACAGTCTTGTTGATTTCCTTATACATAACTTAATTTCCTGAATTAATCTTGTGCAGCTCAGTTCTCTCTGCTGACACCAGTAAAAATCTCTGTGATTGCTGGATTTGAAACTTGTGCAGAGTATAACAGGAGCCATAAAAAATAGTTTGTAAATGTAGCTGTGTTTTTAACTGCATTTTATAAATTATTTCTTTGTACAGTAGTAACACTGGTAAGATTAAATGATGAAACAATAGCCTTAAATGGAAAACTAGTAGGAACTACACCAAATCTCATTTGTCACTTACTAGTGTATTTTTAAGTTGTATCATTTCTTCAGTGGATCATACGTGTTACATAACTATCTCATGTGTGTAGCAGCATGCTTGGGACAATTCTTAACAAAAAGGGCTGCTGATGGAGTGGGATAATTGTTGAAATCATAGCACTTGGAGATCTTTAAAAAAAGAATTATAAAAGCTGTAATTATTTAGCAGACATCTGTTTCAGCTGAGCAGTTTCCATTTCATTCATTGGAGAAATCGTTTGAAAATAAGTTAAATGCTTTTGGATGCTACGTTTTTTAAATTACTGGAATAAAGAATCAAACTATATGCATTTATTCTTTTATTTTTAATTGCATTTTGATAATTCATACTTAATGTAATGAATGATTCATACAAAATTAAAGTTAATCAGTTTTTGATATGACGGTTTATAACTGAAATGTTAGCAGAGCTGTATCTGACAGATTATACTGAATTATACTAAAAAGGCATATTTTGCAAAAAAAGTGAAAACGTCCAGTATTCTTGTCTGAGTGCTGTAACACTTCACCTCTGATTAGAAAGGATGTATGTAATGGATATTTATGAAGTTAAACCCATATAGTAATAATATGACTTTTCATCATATACTACAAAGGGCATCATTTGCTTGGTATTTATAGAGATTAAAGCTTTTAATGACAGTGATATCTGTGGCAATAGCAGAATTTCTGATTTGAATTGCACTTGGTTGTGGAGCAGCAGAAAGATTTTACTACTGGTTTCATTTATTTAAATTGTCAAAGGCCTCTGTAGTGATAAGTTTTTATCTACATATTTTACGGAAAATGGAAATTTCATTAATCGCAACAGTGTATTGAGAACCAAATTTTAAGTAAATTGAACAGACTACTGGTATGCAAATCACTGTTCTAGCACATTCAACCCATCGTGGTCATATTTACTGTGTTCCAGGTGCTCATTGTCGGCTTTCATTCTGCAGGCACGCCCCTCCTTCAGGGTGGATGCAGTTCCTCAGTGTATCCACACATATTCAAAGGAAGTCTTTGATTCTTAAGTGATTTGAATTTTGTGTTTGAATCAGTTTTCTTAAAAGCTTTATCCTTACTCAGAATAAACCTGATGCAACCAGAGCTGAGATGTTCTTGATCTGCAGAACACCGTGCTCCAGGAGCTCCCAAACAGACTTCTGCAGTCATGTGTGCTCTTACTTACATATGGAAATGACATAATAAATTCTTACTAAGATTGAATGCAACTAAGAGTATCTGAGAAACAATTTTTATAATAATTTGAAAATCACTTTTAATTGAAAAAATTTTGAAAGCTTACACTCTCTACAAATACATGAAAGTATGGCAACACATACAGCACAGATCTTTATTTGGTGCATTAGTGAAGCTATGTCATAACCCAAGCTAATTATGATTTTAAGATTTATTCCAAATTGGATAATGTTCCTTTTCAAACACCACTTTTATCCCCACATCCAACACATCCTCACAGCACCTAATTGTATTAAAATTGTGGGGTTTTAAATGTAAAGTGCAAATTCAGCATTAGCTCCATCTTGTGATACAGATTACCAGTGGAGAAAACTCACTGCTCCACAACCTGGAAGGAGAATTTATACCAGATACAACAAGCAGTTAATTTATCTTAGTATTTAGGAAGGTACAGTTCTATGTTATAAAGCATTAGAACAAATTCTTGCTTGAAATAGTGAAGAAGGGGAGAGATCTAGTCCTAATTTTTAGACATCCAAAATAATAAAATGCAGTGTTGCTTCCTGACTCCTGCCTTTCTTTATCTTTGTAGTGATCAGTCACAAAGTGACTCCAGTACTAAGGATTTTTGGATGAACATGCAAGCTATAACTGTCTACCTCAAGAAATTATCAGAGCAGAATCCATCTGCATCATATTACAATGTGGATGTTTTAAAGTATCAGGTAAACACTTTTTTCCCTTCAGAAGTTTTTAAGGAACTCTTCCAGATGTGGTATCTATACAGAAATTAGAATTGTTCTTTGACTGCTAGCTTGCAGATGTATTGTCATTCCTCATCCAAACCAGTTCTGGGTATGCCACTGTTCACAATGCAGCGGCTATGCCCAGGCTTAGTGCATTCCTGCTGTGCTTCATCTCGTTCCCTTGGATTCATGACCTGTTTCAGCTTGCTCACGCATCACTCAAATTCAGGTGTTCAAGCTTCAAACACTGCTTCTTTAGGTATTTGTTATCAAAGTCAAATTTTCCTTGTATATAGGATGTTTGGTGGGGGTTTGTTTGAGTTTGTACTGTCTTTGATTTTGTAATTTCATAAGTTTTGGATGCTGTAGCTGACAAATTCTAGTATAAGAGGACGTGACATTCTGACCTCTCACATTACAATGGAACATCTCATCCTGGAAACCATTTGCAGGTACATGAAGGACAGGAAGGCCATCATGAATAGTCAGCATGGATTTACCAAGGGAAAGTCATGCTTGACCATATTCTATGATGAAATGACTGCCCTGGTAGATGAGGGGAAAGCAGTAAATATTGTCTACTTAGATTTCAGGAAAGCTTTCAGCACTGTCTCCCATAGCATCCTCACAGAGAAGCTGGTGAAGTACAGGATAGATGAGCAAACACAGGGCCAGGCCAAGGGGGTGATGGTCAGTGACATGAAGTCTAGTTGGAGGACAGTAACTAGCAGTATACCCCAGGGGTCAGTACTGAGTTTACAGTCCTGTTTAACAGCTTCATTAATGATCTGGATGGTGGGGCAGAGTGTACCCTCAGCAAGTTTGCTGATGACACTGAACTGGGAGGACCCTCTGGATATACCAGAGGGTCATTCTGCCCTCCAGATGGACCTCAACTGGCTGGAGAAATGGGTTGGCAGGAACTTAATGGAGTTCAACAAGAAGTACACCTGAGGAGAAACAACATCATGGACCAATATATGCTGAGGGCCACCCAGCTGGAAATCAGCCTGACAGAAAAGAACCTGGGGGGACACCATGTTGAACGTGAGCCAGCAATGTGCCCTTGCTGCAAAGGCAGCAAATGGTCTCTTAGGCTACATTAGCAAAGTATTGCTAGTAGCTCAGGGGAAGTGATCCTTCCCCTATACACAGCACTGGTGAGGCCACACTTGGAGTACTGGGTTGTTCATTGTGAGACATGCACATACTGAATAGAGTCCAGAAAAGGGCCACAAATATCATGAAGGGTCTGGAGCACCTCTCCTATGAGCAAAGGCTGAGAGAGCGGGGACTGTTCAGCCTGGAAAATTGAAGGCTCAGGGAGGGGTCTTACCAATGTATATAAATACCTGAAGAGAGGGTATAAAGAGGACAGAGCCAGGCTGTTTCCAGCAGTGCCCAGTGACAGGACCAGAAGCAATGGGCACAAACTGAAACACAGGAGGTTCCCTCTGAACATCAGGAAACATTTTTTTAGTGTGAGGGTGACCGAGCACTGGCAAAGGTTGCCCAGAGAAGTTGAGGTGTCTCCATCCTTGGAGATCTTCAAAAGCCATCTGGACATGGTCATGGTCAGCTGGCTTGGGGTGGCCCTGCTTGACCAGGGGGGCTTGGACCAGATGACCTCCAGAGGCCCCTTCCAACCTCAACTATTCTGTGAATCTGTGAGAAGATGTTCTGGCTGTCGATAAAAAATCTTCATGAAAATGCAAGACAGACAGACTCACCTCAGAGAGAGAACAGGCATTTGCTAGGCCTGCATTTAAATGGTTGAACATCTGAGACAACTGTCTACATCAAAAAAACAAAATAACTTGTCAGTCCAGCTATTAATACCAATGTAGTTTCCACATCCTCCCAATAGAGTTTAAAATCTTGGCATGCTGACTCTACAGAAAGCATGTAAGGCATACAGAATTCCAGAGAAGGATGGAAGGGACAAAACACTTCTGTGGATTTCAGTAATAAGTACTGTGGAAGAATGATGTCTATTTAAGATCTTTACTGTCAGGAAAAAATGAAGCATTGTCATGCGGAAGCCCTGGCAGATAGAAGAGGTTCTGGGCTGCCCAGGAAAGGTGAGAAGGTGCACCAGGACACAGAGGTTCCTCAAGTAGACTAGGAAGGTAGCAGAGATGCAGCAGGGCAGTAGCACAAGCTCAGCTACAGAAGCAGCATTCAACCCTCCTGCAGCAGGAAAATGAGGCTTTGAATGGGTAAGAATCGTTTTGCTAACTGCCCCTCCCACGATGACAGGTATTGCCCTTTGCTGCAAGCATGCTTCTTGTGTGAGGCAAAACACAAAATTAACATAAAACTGTTTTGACTTATAAAAGCCAGAACAGGAAGGAGTCTGATGGGCCAGAGGGAACGTAAACCTTTTATTTAATTATTTTAATTTAAAAGAATATGAATTACTTTAGGCTGCAAGAATCTTCAGAATTCTGCAATTAAGGACTCAAGAGATCAATTTTCTCTTGATATTTTGTCAGGATTTAGTGTTATATTAGTTACCATCATTCCCTAATTCTGCCCAAAATGGGAATATTTTAATTAAGCTGCTTTCAATGGTTTATACTTTTGCAGGTATCTTCAAATGGCATCCAGTCCACTCCCTTGAATCTTGCAACTTACTGGAAATGTAATGCTAGCACTACTGATGTGAGAGTGGATTATAAATACAATCCAGAGTCTATGAATGTGCCTACTATGCTGTCTAATGTCCAGGTTGTGGTACCAGTAGATGGAGGAGTAACAAACATGCAATCACTTCCACCTGCAAAATGGTAATATGAATACTTTTCTTTTTATTATTTCAGATTCATTTCAATATATTCATTAGTGTCATAGCCAAAAAATTTTCACTGGAAGAAAGAAGTAATGGTTTTGGTCTTGATAAAATGCATAATATCAGACATTTAGGACATTTTCTGGTCCAAAACAGATAACATACATTCAATTCACGTAAACTAAAATGAGACAATATGCACCTATTCCAACTGTGTAATAATACAAGCTTTTATGAAATTCCCAATGTTTGCTTTCTTTTGGCCAATAGTCAGGGTAGACATTTTTAATACAGTGATTTGAAACCAAAATCTCTTTAATGGTTAAAAAGTATTTTGTGTGTGTGTGTATTAATGTATCCATATATATGGAGTATATAAAGAGAGTAGAAGAAATTCAGTTCTTAAAAAGATTTCTTGATTGTTTGAGCTTAAATATTAGCTTCTAGTTGAAATGGTTTTAAAATAAACCTCAGCAACTGAGGAGCGAGCTCTTCATAAGCCATGTAGCATTGTCTCTCAAATTGAGTGTCATGCAGATTATTATCTGACTAGCAGCTACCTGCCACCACCTTCTAAGCCTGCATTTACAGTAGCACTTGAAAGTGAGTCACAGATCCCAGGTAGTTATGATTCTACAAGTTTCTGAAAACAAGCAGAGAGTAGTGGGCTGGGCAGAGCAGCACATCCCTGAAGCAAAAGGTGAGCAGAATTCAACCACTGTGCATATGGTTTGGCAGCGTGTAGGTACTTGCCCAGCTGTAACATAATTCCTGGACTATTTATTTCCAAGAGTGTTTTTTAACATGAGGAGGGAAAAGAATACCAAGTTGAAGAAAGTCAGGCTTTGTTAACCTTGCTACTTATAGATCAGTTTACCTTAGAAAGCAAGGTTCAGAAGAAAAATAAACCTGATGCATTTATGAGATAGGTTCTGATGTTTCTGGAGGCAATACATTTAAATGTGTTAATTGGACAAAGTAGTAATACAGTATCATTTTAAGTGAAAAAAATCCTGGCAAGACTGAATCTTTCTTGACTTGGTATTTCAAGGGAGCAATACTTTTAACCAAATCACCTTAAACTGATTCTGAGCAAGGAGAGGTTCACTATCCTACCTGAACAACATGACTAGAATGTCTGGTGAAGCCAGTCTCCTTGCCCAGGCTTCTTCCACAAATCCTTCTGTAACGCAGCCTGAGCGAGAGCGGGAACGCCCACCCAGAACACGTAGTGTTAGCTAGGAAGACTCAAATCATAGTGACAGTTTCATTACAGATTCATCAGATTAAGGGACTTGAGCCCAGATTCTCCCTTTCACCTAGGCAACTACACAAAGCCCAAATTTTGATCCAGGAAAGCTGACAAATAATAAAAATACAGTCATGTCCCAGGCAGCTCTAGTACTTGTGTTATGGACTGGGGGGGGGGGAGGGAATTTTTTTTTTAAAAATAAATGTTTTATACCTTGACCTCCTGCAAGTAACCATTACCATCAGTGCTACTTGTGTGAGCATTTCACTCCTGCTATACCATGCCAAAAGCAGTTTCAGACCTATCAGCACTTCATGCTGCTCACACCTTTAAGTTGCTGACTTTCCTTTCATGAAACTGCTGCAAACTGCTCCAGAGTTAAAATGCCCTGTTAACTTAGAGACTCTGATGCTTGGTGCCCTTTTCAGCCCCTTTACAGCATCAGAAGTTAGCTTCAACCCTGGGTTATTTATGCCAACTGGTTTTACTAGAATAGAAATGGAATAAAATTCATGCTGCCAGGAGTCTCACAAAGGAGACAGTAATCAGCGTTTCTCCCACACACACCATTGTCACAAAGCATAAACACATATCTTTCTAACTGCTTCCAGGGCATTTGGCTCCTCCTTGCCCTTTGAGACTACAGAGGGGTTTGGGTTGTGGAGCCATTGCCAGGGCATAGGACAGTGTTAATTGCATGAAGGGGTGGTGTACTTCTGAGTTCTGCTGCTCTGGGGCAATGCAGACAGACACACCCTTCTCTTTCCGTGTTTGCATTGCATAGTTTTCCAGAAACTTACCTTAAAGTGATCCAAGTATTTTAATAAACTTCCATTTAGAGATGTCTGTAACATAGCAGTGTAAATATAGGGAAATAATATGCTAAAACTGGTGCTTATAACTAACCTACTGTTCTCTTACAGGAATGCAGACCAGATGAAAGCACATTGGAAAATATCTAGCATTTCGGACAAGTCTGAGAATGGAGGCAAGTTGAACTCTTTTGGTTTGTTTTCTTGTACAGAAAAATTATAATAGCAAAAAGGCAGTTATTTTAACCTCTACACCTTCATGCCTACTTACGTGTCTTCTCATGCTGTATCGTGTTTACCAGTTCACCTTTTTCTCAATTAATTTCTGCCTGAGAGATTCCATTAACAATGAGATGTCAAAATATATATTTATTAATAAACTATGAAAGCAAAAAGAGTGAAGCCCCCTGAAAACATCTAGTAGCTCTAAAGTAGACTTTAGACTGGGTAGGAAATTATTACACCAATGCTATTTGGAAATGAGCAGCTGTTCAAAGGAAAATGCATTTAACATAATGTGTCTTCCCTCACACTGACAATTGAAATAGGTAAGTGGAAGAACTGGAGGGAAGAGAATTTAAAAGACAACAACAACAAAACAAAAAAAAAAAAAAAAAAAAAAAAAAACACAAAAAAAAACCAAAGATCCAGAAGTCCTGTGCTGATATAAACTCAACAATAGTAGATGATTCTTGACCAACATTTTGAGGGTCTTTGTTTTGACCATATACAGCTCCAGGAAAAAAATGAATCTATGCACACCTGCTTAGAGTGATAATTTATATAGCATTTTGTAAGGCACCAATGGTTGTCCTCTGCCCACTTGCCTTGCTCTGAGGTCCAGTTGATGTCACAGCCCTTGCAGCCTCTGCAGGTGCAATGTTTTTCTGAAGCAGAAAAACAGGAGCCAAGGGGAGGCATCTCATCCTCAGAGCCTCTGTGGAGAAATGAACTCATGGTGTAAAGAAAAGGCCTTTAGCCCTGTTAACAATTCAGTGAAGGGCATTATGAAAGCACAGATTTGCTTGTAAATATGACTAGAAACCACAAGCCTGAAAAGGGAAGACCTCTTCTATTCCAGCAAAGGCTGCAAAGTTGTAGTCATCATTCAAACGATCAGAGGGAATTTTATCTGACAGAGATTGTTGCTATCATCCGGTGTACTTTTTCCTTCACTGACACAGTTCTTTGCCACCTGTCTTCCATTATGATTACATAGGGATAGCCCTCTTTTTTTCCCTTTTCCAAACTATGGAGCTTCTTTTAAAAAAAAAAAATCATACTAAAACACAAATGCAACCATATGAAGAGCTACTGTACACTTGCTGAGCAGCATAAAACGGGCTGCCAGTGATTCGGATTGCATCTTGTGTGTGTTCAGTAGACTTGCCCATATCCCACTGCTTCTGCTATATTCGCTTCTCTTCCCACCATCTCTCTTCCCCTTTTCTTTGAGTATAAACACATAGTATTCACAATTCAGTGTTTAAGAGGAAGTAATATTATGCTGGTCTTACAGAAACAAAGGGAGAAGTTGCACAAACAGTGTTAATATTAGGACAAATGTCTTGAAGTCTTATTTATTCCAGTGTGCAGGCTGGTAAAATGTTTTGGGGTTTTTTTATGGTACAACACATTATGTAAGCTGTCAATTGCAGACAGAGATAAAACACAGAACAAATATTCAAAGCACCTGAATATATGAGTTTCCAAACTTATAGTAAGAAGTTCCAATTTACCCAAACTATAAACAAGCCATTGCATAAAACAATTTCAACTCCTGCTTTTACCTCAGTAACATTTCAGTTACTAACTTTCCTTGTCATTTAGCAGTCCTTATGACTAGGAATAGCAAGTTGTTTTAAAGAAGTAAAAATACTTGACTTTCACTACTCCGTGATTAATTCTTTAAATCTCATTTTTCCCAGCATTGACTACAGAAATGTGCTTAAAGTAATTTTGAACTATTACTGCTTTATAGTAGCATCAAAGTGATGACACTTTACTATGGTCTCTGAAAAATCAACTCAAATTTGTGGGGAAAATTACTTAATCAGACCTTGTCTTTATTAGAAAAAAAAAGAATTTCTTTCCTCTTGGTACGTTACTGTATAGCTGTATTTCTTTCAATTGATTTGTTTATGTACATTGATCCAGACATATTGTGACAACATTTAAATATTCTGATGTACTTTCAAATCTGCTAATGAAAAGTACTACGTGAGAGATAGATGGTATTAAGTACTTACAGACCAGCAAGTGTAAATTATTATAGGGATCAATCAGATATTTCAGGTAATAAGTGATTACCAGGCTGTCTGGTACACGCATTCTGTATAATCTTGCAGAAAGGTGTATTGTTTTTCTTTAAATCATTCACTAGTCATTGTCTTAAACAGAGTATTGGAAAAAACAGACTTGTATTCTCATCTCTTTTGAAAATTTATGTAGGACTGTCACTGGCAATAGATCTCAAAGGTCACCATCTTAGTTTCACTTCTTACTTCTAAAATTTTTGGGAGATTGTCTTGTGCTTGCAAATCAACCAGCTTTTTGGTTTTGTTATTTTTATAGGTTCTGGATCCCTTAGGGCAAAATTTGAACTTTCAGAGGGACCCAGTAAACCAGCAACACTTGCAGTGCAGTTCATTAGTGAAGGAAGCACCCTTTCAGGAGTAGATGTGGAGCTCGTTGGCATTGGCTATCGGCTTTCCCTCCTTAAGAAGAGGTTTGCCACTGGTAAGACATTGACATGCTTATATATTCAAATTAATATTATATATTCTATAGTGTTAAATTATAAAATATGAAACTGTTAAATAAATGATGCATAAATAGTTGCTTTTCATTAAAACATGACTGAAAACTGTTTCACAGGTTTTTCGGTTTTCCGTATTTACTCAGACTGCTCCCGGGAAAATAGTGAAAAAATCTGGTTTATTTATTGACTGCAAAAACCCTACCTTTATTTTTCAGGACGGTATATGGCAGACTGCTGATGTACCTGTGAAAGTCATTGGAACAAAGGAGTGCAAGAAGCTCAAACGTTGACCTACTTTGAGGCTGAACTACAGAACAGAAAATGCACTTTTAAAAGTCATTTTGCAAACTTATTACTTTATAATAGCACTGAAGTTGACTTCAACACTGTCTGTAAATGATCAACTGCAATATTTGGGAAAATTTGTTGAAATTTTAGTAAATTTATATAGATGAAGTCAGATAGTAGTCCATAGTTGTAATGAAAGTATGAAATTGTATTTTATGCTGTAAACACTAAACCTAAAAAAGTACGAGAGCAAGTAAGAAATATTTGCGCTTTCCATAAGTAATATTCATTTTTCATATTCTTCTAATTGACACTTTTTAAAAAAGCAGAGGCAAAGTCTCATGTAGTTTGTCTGTCCACTCATGACACAAAACCAGTTGAGTTAGTGATGTATAAAAGCAATGTAACTTGATGGCCGTGTATCATATATTATTAACATGTAAGTTGGTTTATATAGGGGTTTTTTCCGAAGTGCAATGTGTTACAAAATTGCAAAAGACAGCAGAAATTTATTTCTGCAGTTAGTAAATTTTATGGGCGTTTGAATTGTTTCCATTAATGCTGTAGATTTAATTTATTTTTATATGAATTGCATAACATTTGTGCCTTTAAAAAAGCCTGTGCCTATCCAATTTGTTATTCATGTGCCTCACTTCCTTTTTCAAAGTTTGGCTCTTAATCAAGAAAGCACAGTGTTTGTATAATACACACAACTTTATAAAAATTCCTTTGACTGGGATTTATTTAGAAGGCAGATTTGCAAAAACTGGGGATTATTATAAAAGAAGTTTAAAATACTGGATTACTTCCTCATGGGGTAATTGCAATAAATGCGGTTGTAGTAAAGGGAGATGCATCGTGCAGGACTTTGAAATGTGGAGATTTAATGGTAACTTTAATGTCACCAAAGATGAGATTCCTGAAAAATCACCGAAGATGGTAAAAGCAAACTTGTAAAAGTGAACAGCATTTCCTTTCACTTTGACTGCAAGTCTTTGGACTTTTGAGTGCTTTTGGGGTTGCGTGATGTGAATGTAAATATAGTACTTTGGAAGGAGTAGCATTATAGAAGGGTATTTTATGGCAGCAGGATGACAAGTGCTGCCACGTCTATTAGTTTAATGTTTTTCTATAGCTACCGATTTCAATATTTGTATTGTCATCTAATCTGCTTGCCACAGCCTAAGCACAGGGAAGTGACACGTTAGTAATATTTTTTAAAGTCACTAATTTAGAAAATCTTCTATGTTTTTATATTATCAAGTGTTCTTTCAATGCCAAAATCAAAAGTATTGGGGCAAAATAATTCAATAAACTGCATGTGGGAATTTCATGTGACCATTTTGAACACCAGTATCGATTTCAAATTCTGTATTAAAACAATAAAACATGCTTGAACTAATTCATGCAAAACCAGTAATGAATTGGACTGCTGAAACTTTACAAGAAATTAAGCTTTGTAGAGGCTGCATAACTTTTAATGTATACCGCACACTTTTGCAGACAAGAGTTCCATTGTTAGCACGAAGCACATACTGTACTGTAGATTTGATTGGAAGAATATATTTGGCTTTTAATTTGCTAATCTTATTGAATGGTAAATTTCCAACTCATCAAATGGTACAGTCTTTTTACTGAAATCTTAGTCGTAATCTGCTTTGCAATCAAACTGTGTTTAATGTGACAATATTTTATCAGTGAAAACCCAAAACTGTATTGCTATTTTTAATCAAGTATTACTTTCATTTCTAAGTTAAATGAAGTAGTTATGTTTCAGCACTTTTAAACTAGCCTTCATTCAGGTGGTTTTACATACATTGAATTGAGTGCAGGTTACAATTTGAAGCCATACAAGTTTATATACACTTTTTGTAAAGAAATTCAAAAACAATGTAAAAAGTACATGTAGCTATCTGATAAACAAAAAAACAAAACAAAACAAACCCACATATGTAGCAAGCTGGTTCTTGCTTATGTATACAGCAATATCCATTGTAGCTGCCTTCTAAGAAAATTAATTTGTAAACACAACTCTAAAGGATCTGAATTTTTATGAATTGTTACTACATCAGACTGTAAATTAGAGCATACAAGTTTATCTTACAAAAATTGTAAATACTTCTGATTTTTCATTAAATGTAAATTTAAAAAAATTTGCACCCATAATAAACATGTAATATATAATTTAAATACTGATTTATATTGCCTATACTTTTGCAGTTAGTCCCACAGAGCTTCTAAGCAATAAGATAATAGAACAGAACTATGCCTGTTTTGAACATTTTAAGGGTGATAATTGATTTTTAAATGATAAGAGGTAGAGATAGTATACCAACTCTTTTATATATTTAAAAAACATCACAGAGAAAGTGGGTGGAAAGATGACTTCTTGCATTTTACTAAACTGGAATGCCTAAGATGTCTACAATGGCATATGCCTCTACTAAATTGGTATGCTTAACTAATAGCTTTGATTAGGCAAAACTGCAGATATATTTATCAGAAAAATCTTCACTTTGTAGACATGAGCTCTCTGTAAATAGTGCTACCAAATGCTGTACATTCCCTAACTTCCTTAATGAGTTTATATTTTGTTGAGTCCACAGGAGAAAAATCAGTGGCGAGATTAAAGTAATTCTAACTTCTGTTCCACTGGTCCAAAAAAGTAGACGATTTAGGTACTACTTCAGCAGTCTGAGAATAGTCCTTTTAAGCTGCAAGCACAGAAACAAAAGTCGAAATTGAACAAATGCATTTGAATCTGTTTCTTTCCTACTAATCCCACAGCCTGCATAAATTTAGTAATGACTTATTAAATTGACTTTCTCAAATGACTGGATATCATTGCAGTAAGTACCATTCTTGTCATGCTGGAGAGCAACAGTGCAAGGGCTTGATTCTTATCTTCTGCTGGAAGACAGGAGTGAAGAACACAGGTGCCCAACAGTCAGACCGAATCGTCCTTCTAGCGCAGTAGTCTGTCTTTCACCATGTCCAAAGAACAGATCATGGTACGGAGAGCTCACAGGCCATTTCATTTTTACTCCCCCAGCATCCTCAGTTATTGGCTGGGGGTGTAAAAGCAGACAGCACTGCTCAGTTCTTCTAGTATTCATTGAACTTAAAGTGTCAGAGATCACTGCTCTGGCACTCTGTTAACATTTGACTTTTGTTATTGTAAGCCACTGCCCACGTACTACTCACAACTACTATAAACTGGATTTATACTGCTCAAGCAGGTTTGTGATTATCTAAGTACATGATCGGGTAGTTTTTCAGGGATAACTGACTACCTCTACCACTGCCAAATAATATTTATGTAGGGTATTTGAAGGAGCTAAGGTATTTGGTTATCAACTGGAACAGCGTGGGAGTTACAAGTGTGGTGTGCTTTGCTATCTAAATAGAAGGGAAGGTGTTGCATCATGCCAGAAAGGATTATACTTCAAGTCTTGTGTGTTTGAGAAGCTTAAGATAGGCATCTTAATATCTGTGTACCTTTTATTTTCTTGGAATTGCTAGATAATTGGTTTCCATTTCAGTTGTCATGAAGGGGAAATTTTACTTTAGAGCATGCAAGAAAAAACTCAGGAATTCCTCCAAGGATAGAGTAAGCTAAAAACAGTTCAGGGTACTAAAGCAGGAAATAACATATTTACTGTGTGGTGCCCTTGATTGGACTGATTACCCGGCCTCTTAATTGAAAACTTAATGTTTATCTTAAACTCTGCATATTATTACACTACTGAGTATTCCTTCTCAACTCAGTTTGACCTCAGTGTTTACTGACATGTTGATTTTTAATTTCTCCCTTAGTTCATTCAATAACCAATAGAAAACATACAGTCTTGAAAGAATAAAATAATTTTAAAAACATAAGAGGCCTGTGGTGGATTACTTATTAAATATTTCATACTCAGATTCTACCTTTTCTGTAGGTGCTTTCACTTCCTTTGGAATCCATTCTTTCTGGTTTAAAATATGGGATGGCTATTTTTATTAGTATAACCTAAAATATTATTTTGTTTGTCATTGTCCCAGCTGTATTTCTTTTAAAAAGCCTTGTTCTGTAACCTTTTTTTTTTCATTACTAAAACTCAGCTGTTTATTTTTTTAAAAAACAAGGTTAATAATCACAATCCATAAATCATGCCAACTTCACCACTCTGATTACAACTCAGCTTCTCCTCTTAGCATCACCCAATCTGCCTTCATGAAGTTCTCATTTCCCAAGTCATGTTTTCTGCTCCGGAAAGTTAGCAGTGGTAATGTGTTCAGCAATGACTCAATTCTTTCTTCATCACAGTTAAATTAAGTAGACTATTTTTACAACCATTATTGATTTTCCCCTCCAGATGTCCCCTCTTGCTTTGTAAGTTTCTCCTCCACATGGCAGAATACTTCAGCTTCTGTGTAAAAGTCTCTTCTGGCTTCTGAGCAGTTCCTAGAGTGTCAACACACGCTACCTGGTTATGTGAGCACGGGAGAACTGTCACAGTCTATGATCTGACATCTCTGCAGCTGACATCTCTCTGAAGTCTCACCAGTCGGTTTGGGCCAAATGTTGCTGCAACTTTTCTCCTGCTGAAATCGTATTTCCATGTTCTGAGTCTCTTAGAACAAACAGCAGGCCAGATGTCTGCTTCTAAGGAGAAGACAGAATAAATTTAGTTTTATTTAAGGTCTAAAATGCAGAAGATTGCTTGATTTAAGAACTGCATCTTGTACATCTAGGACAAAAAACTCAGCCTCATACGAACACACTCTGGCATAATTTCTCTAGGAAATACAGAGTAAACACTACACTCAGAAGGAGCCAGAGTAAGGAAATTACATGGAAAAACAAATTTGGGCTCCAGCATTCCCTTTAGATTAAGGAACAGAATATGTATTTGACACAACTTCCCCATTAAGGAGTTGCAAATTAGGAAAAAAAAAAAGTCAAGGAGATGGGCCATAACAACTATTCTCTTGGCATTTTGCAAGATATTTGAGGAGACCTTCAACTGTCTCAAAACTGAAGTTGTATCTTTAATACTGTGGGAGAGCATGCAGGATGTCTTGCCTTGCAAGAAGTTCTGCTGTGTCCGTGCAGCCATGAGCTAGAACTTGGCATTGCTGCACTCAATGCTGTCCAAGCATGGGCAGCACAGCCCACCTCCGCAACCACCTTTGCTTCCAGGCAACAAGAAGTTTCCTAGAGGAAGAAGTGAGGAACCCATACCCCATTTCCCTGAGCGCTTTCCAGACCGCTCAAGGTGGCAGCACTTTTGCCAGCTGATCCCCAAGAGACACCACAAAAATACACATTAGAATTCTGAGGTTTTTGGCAAACAGCATCTTGTAGACTTTCCTCCAAGGGTTCATCCTTCTTAAAACAATCCTACAATAACCTGATTTTGGCCAAAAAGAGCAAAACCATAATTTGTATTTCAGGAAGCTGTTTGTCCCCTGTGTAGGCAGCAATAGTGCAGTCTCCTGCTTTTCATGCTACCAATGGTTAGGAAAAGCCAAGAGTTGTCACAGGTTGAAAAGAAACTGTCAAAAAATGTTGCATCTTTCTTAAAGCGGTGGCTTACCTCAACAGCAACTTAAAAGCAAAAACTGTGCTGAGTTTACCCTTAAAGAGTCATTCCCAGTCCAGAGGGACATAGACTCAGCTATACCTCCTATTCAGGTCATCAGTAAATGTAAGTGCATGTTTGTACCAACACACAGCAGGAACAGTAGTACTCAGAAGATGTGTTCACTATTTCAACTACTCACAATAGTCTACAAGCCATTATTTTAACATCTGGAGCAAATCCTAAGGGCCAGCAGCACCAGCAGGCTGCTACGTACTCTTCACAGAACTTGTGAAGTATTCACATCATGCTGTGCCATCTTCAACACAGTTTGAACACAAGATGGATTTCTTCATCAACCCTGTAAAAGTTGACTGGTAACATGTAGAATCTCCTGCTACTATATTTGAACTCCCATGATCTCTTCTATTGTTTTTTTCTGGAATTAAGAAACAACAAACTATTTTTAAGAACTTGGCTAGTGTTCATAGTAAACAGCAACGTCTGCCATCACCCGTCTGTCTAGTCCAAAGATGGGTTATCCAACTGCATTAAAGTATTGGTTAAGTCTCTTCTGAACATTTTCCTTTAGTTAAAGCATCTTCCATTCTCTTAGACCTTTTAAAGTGTTCTGTACTTGCCTTTGTATCTCCACCATGAATGTTTAGCGAAGCCTTCTTCACCTCTCTCCCAGCAAGGTAGGGTTTTTTAATTGTTATTGCTGCCACTAGTTATATTTAAAGACACACAAGAGTTGTATGTTTACAATAGATACACAACCAGATCTACCCAGATGTTTGCAAATACTGATTCAAATGAATGTTAGTTCACATCAACT